GAGGAGGAAGGAGGAGGAGGAGGAGGAGGAGGAGAAGGAGGAGGAGCAGGAGCAGGAGGAGGAGGAAGGGCCAGAGCCTCGAGCTCGGCGGCGGCGCCGGCGACGCCGCCGGCGGCGGCGGCCTCGCCGCGGCCGGCCTGGAGCAGGCTCGCGGTGTCCTGGCCCTCTCGCGCCACCTCTTAGGGAGGCACCAGCTATACACCAACACCGATCCTGGCCAGGATCAACCTGGGCCCAGGATCGGTGTACACCCCCTCCTGCCATGGGCAGAATGCACATACACCGGTCCTGGCCCCAGGATCGGCCTGGGCTGGATCGGTGTAGGTGTATAGTTGGGGCCCTCTGGCGCCACCTCTGGCGCGCCGAGAGGGGAAGCGACGGGCAACCACAGTCGCTATCTGGCCATCGCTCGGACGTGTGCATTCCCTGTGTTTTCTGTCGGTTTCGTGCGTGGCTTTTTCGCAGGAGGGTCCAGGATGCTTCTTAATCACCCCCGCCGAGAAAAAGTGCACACGTCCGAGCGACACCAAGCTATGGGGCAAAACCAGAGATCCGACGCTCCAACAAATTGGAGCGGCGGGATTTTGGAAGTTTTCGGCCTCCGGGGGCGCCTGCTGGGCCCTGGGAGCGTCAACAAAGCGACGCAGGACGGCAAACCGGCCCTATAGGGGGATGGTCCGGACCCCCCCACGAAGCCCACGCATCCCAAACATGGAGCAGCCGGATGTCTGGGAACGGATCCAGAGGGATCGGCGGTGGACAAAGCTCCCGTACATGGACATGATATTCGAACCCTGTGGCCCAAGACGCCCCCCCGAACCCCCGAATTTAATATTGATGGCGTGGCGACGGGGGGGGCGTGAGTGGACAGAAATATTCGAACCCCAAAGCACCGCCTTTGCTGAGATCAACATTGATGTCGGGGGCGCGGGGGTGATTTAGAATCTCCCTCGAATGTGTGAGGGTTCGAATATATTGTCCATCTACTGTCCCTCTCACAAACCTCTCCTTGGTGAAAACGGCCTGGGACCGAAACCGACGGACCTGGACCCGCAGACATGACGGCCGCGACGCCCTCCCGCGGACCGAAAACGGCCAATTCGCTGATCGACGTGTCAGGGCAGGAGGTCCATCAACCTCCGACAGACAAAGCGCGAGCGCACCTAGCATGCGGCCCCGTCTTTCGCTCCGAGAAGCGGGCTGAAACCCATCGGGCCGATGAACATCCGTACGGCTGTGGTTGGGATACCACGGCAGATTTTGCCTCAGCGAACGCCATAGCGCTATGGGATGCGCAGGTGCGACACGTTCAGCATCGTTTGCCCGATGGTGCATTTATATACATGTACAGATATATGTGATAGCCAACGTGGAACCCAAACTTTGCACTTGTTGGCATTTACGTTGTACAATCTACGTTATGCAGCTTAGCTGGTGCGCAACATACGGTATAATTCACGTTGCGCAATCGATGTTGTGCAACCTACGTGGCGTAACTCACTTTGCAGAACTTGATGTTGGCAATTCCACTGCTCGACGTTTTTCGCCGTTTCGGGGCTCTTTCGGGGCCCTCCTCGCGCCCGGGGGCTGTTTCGAAAACGGCTCTCGGGGCGCAAATTTCGACCGCGGGTGGGAAGCCCCGGTGCCCAGGGCCCGTTTGCCTCCGGACCCGCTTCCCCCGTGCATCAGGTCGGGCATGTCCCCCTGCAGGTGGATTTTGAACGAAAAATCAAAGATAGTCAAATTTATTCAAAAGTAACAGACAATGTTTAAACAATCGGCGCCAGGCTATTTTTTTACTACTTGTGAATGTTCGTCCTGTAGAGGGACAGGCCCGACTTAACCCATGCCAGCACCTGTGAGCTTTGCCCCTGCTGGTCAGATGCCAGAGAAGCTGGCGGGGAGTTCGGGGTGTGAAGGACGTCTGCGGCCAAGCGGACCCCCGCGGGGATGTCCGATGCCCCAGCGCCCACTGGACCTGGAGGGGCAGGGTTCACGAGCGGTCGCAGAACTGAGAGGTGAGCGTGTTCTTACTCGGCGCCTCGACACTGGGCGCGTGAGGCGGGGGGGGATCTGTCCCCATAGGGAGCTCCACCGAAGGCCCCTTTGGACACCCGAAATGGGTACCGAAAGAATGGGTACAATGCCCAACAACAAATGTTGTCCCAAACCAACAGCGGCCGCTGTTGGGCAGGCGGCCTTCTGTCTCGAATGGACACAGGCCGCGGCGGCGTGGACAGCGAATCCTGTTCAGAATGGGCAGGAACTGCTGTTGGACATCGTACCCATTCTTTCCGTGCCCATCTCGGGCGTCCAGAGCCCCAGTGGCAGGGTCCGCATGCGTCCCCCCGCCCCGCCCCCTCACTCGCTCCCGTGGCCCCATTGGGGAGCGCGGCGGGAGGCCCCGGCGGCAGGGCCCCCCCGCACGGCGCACCCGCACGCGATTATGCGGCTCACCCCTCACGCGCTTCCAAGCTCCACCGGAGGCACCACTGGCTGTTATTTTTTATCGATTTTGTATGCTTTTGTTCCTGCAAGTGTTTTTCTGTTTTTTTGCATGTTGTTGGAAATGTTTTCTCTTTTCTTTTCTTGCATCCGTGTTTAATATCTCGCTGTGACCACGTGCGCCCCCGCCACCCATGTCCGCACACCCCTCACACGTGCCGTGGCCCCGCAGGGAGCGCCACCGAACGCCCCAGTGGCTGTGACCACATGCGCCCCCGCCGCTGATTTCGGCACGCCCCTCACGCGCTTCGTGGCCCTGCAGGGAGCCCCACCGAAGGCCCCAGTGGCTGTGAACGCACCACTGCGATACTCCATATGGCTGGGTCCTTCGTCAAGATAATTAACTGGGGCCGCGGCGCCAATCCATGTTGCGTCAGGAATCTGCGTTTACACAAATCCGTCACGCGTCTACACCGCACCTTTCGCAGACGGTCCATATGATGCGTAATTCACGGCAACAGTGACCCCCCTTCGAAGAGGAAAAGGAGGAGGAGGAAGATGGATGAAGAGAAGCGCCATTGCCCAGTAATGGAGGAGGAGGAGGAGGAGGAGGAGGAGGAGGAGGAGGAGGAGGAGGAGACGAGGACGAGGAGGACGAGGAGGACGAGGAGGAGGAGGAGGAGGAGGAGGAGGACGAGGAGGAGGAGGAGGGAGGCGGAGAAACGCACGGGGCGACAAACCAGTCCTGAGGGAAAGAAACCTCGGGGGGTCGAGAACCTGCTCGCCGGGTTGAGGAGGTGAGAGCGAACGAGCCCTGTGGGAGTCAAGGGGGGGCACGTCGGAGTACAGTTCCAGACGCCGCGGCTTTCCAGGTGAACGAGCCCAAATGAAACCCAGAGCTTACATATCCGTTCGGGCCCGGAGGACAGGAAGCAGGAGGGCGAGGGGGCTTTTTCCAACCATCCTGTGGAGTTGGGTCCTGGTTGTGAAGAGACAGCGCCCCGCATTCTGCCATGCAGTGTCCTGATTCCACCACCATCATGTATACACGCACCCGATCCGGCAAAGCCCTCACACGTTTCGTGGCCCATGGGCCCCAGCGGCAGGGCCCGCATGACGCACTCGCACCCGATTCAGCACACCCCTCACACGTGTCGTGGCCCCATTGGGAGCCCCACCGAAAGCCCCAGCGGCAGGGTCCGCATGGCGTGTCCGAGCCCGGCTCGGAACACCCCTCACACGTTCCGTGGCCCCGAATGGAAACTCCACCGAACACTCCAGCGGCAGCGTCCGCATGGCGTGTACGCACTCGATTCGAAGGCCCAGCAAATGTTGTGGTCCCATGGGGAGCTCCACCGAAGGCCCCAGTGGCAAGTTCTGCACGGCGTACCCGCGCCCGATTCACACGCTTCGTGGCCCCATAGGGAGCTCCTCCGAAGGCCACAGCGGCAGGGTCCGCATGGCGTACCCGCACCGGAGTCCGAACACCCCTTATACGGTTCGTGGCCCCATCGGGAGCTCCGCCGAAGGCCCTAGCGGCAGGGTCTTCATGAAGTCTACGCACGTATCCGCACCCGACTCGGCACACACCTCACACGTTTCGTTAACCCGAAGGGAGCACCACGGATGGCCCCAGCGGCAGGGTCCGCATGGCGCACCCGCACCCGATTCGGCACAACCCTCACACGTTTCGTGGCCCCAAAGGGAAACTCCACCGAAGGCTCCAGCGGCAAGGTCTGCATGGCGTATACGCACCCGATTCGGCACACCCCTCACGCGCTTCGTGGCCCCGAAGGGAGCTCCTCCGAAGGCCACAGCGGCAGGGTCCGCACGGCGTACCTGCCGGATCCGGAAAACCCCTCGCACGTTTCGTGGCCCCATGGGGAGCTCCACCGGAAGCCCCAGCGGCAGGGTCCGCATGAAGTACCCGCATCCGACTCAGCACACCCCTCACACATTTCGTGGCCCCATCGGGAGCCCCACCGAGGGCCCCAGCGGCAGGGCCCGCATGGCGCGTCCGCACCCAACTCGGCACGCCCCTCGCACGTTTCGTGGCCCCCTAGAGGGCCCCACCGAAGGCCCCAGCGGCAGGCTCCGCACGGCGTGCCCACATCCGAGTCGGCTCACCCCTCGCGCGTGCCGTGGCCCCACAGGGAGCTCCATCCGAGGCCCGAGCGGCAGGCCCCGCATGCCGCACCCGCATCCCATTCGGCGCACCCCTCACTCCTCCCCCCCTGCTTCTGCTCACTCGCCTCGCGGCACCCGCGGCTCCATACGGTTGGGCCCTTCGCCAGGAGCATTTGGGGCGCAGGGCAACGTTGGGCGTCTGCATGCCTCCAGAGGCTTCTGGGGGAACCTCCAGAGACCTCTGGAGATTCAGGCCCGTGGCACGCGCGACGAAAACAAAACACGGCGGCACATGTTCTCAACCTTTGGAGGCCCGTTCCCAAACGTGCGACGATCTGTTCTTGTCAGTCCGCGGCTCCAGAGCTCCTGACCCCTTCCCAGGGGATCAGTGTCCGCCCGGGATGGGGTTTCCATTGCCACGGGGCCCGATCGCCAGGGCTTCGCGAAGGCTGGCGTCTAGGGAAAGCGCCGGGGTGGAACAGATCCGATCGTCGGAGATCTTGGGTTCCCGGCCCCGAGACGGTCCACAAAAAAAACTCATGTATTCACTCGCGGCCATAAGGGGCGTTATGGGGGGGGCGGGAGGGAGCATGCCGTAGCGCCCCCCCCTCCCCAGACTGTGGTACCGGACGCACTGCGGCAGTGCTGGGGACGCACTGAGGGGGGGAGCGTTACGTCTTGGGCAGAGGGGCGGGAGAGGGGGGGCATAACGCGCGTTGTGGCCCAGAGGATAAGAAACGAAAGAGCACTCTCGAACGACCAGGGACGAAGACAGGTCGCGCCCCCCACGACCTTGAGCAAGGCGGTCAGGCTCGCAACGTCCTGTGCTGGGGGGGCCGGCCGGCCGGGCGCGCGCGCGATCTACCCCTCGGCGCGGTGCCCTGGTGGCGCCCCCCGGGGGCTCCCAGGGGGCTCGGCGTGCAAGGATTCCCTGGCCCAGGCCACCGGGCAACAGTCGAACCAAGGTCAGAAGAACATCCTTCAAGAGCATGAGACCCTCTGCTGGCCAAAACGCACAGAACAGCCTCGGGTATACCCTCCCCAGGATGCACAAGAACATCCAACATGAACGCATGAAAAGCGCCCCCCGCCCCCCACGTGAGGAACTTTGCACCAAGGGAACGGCAATGGACTCGCTTACAGGCCGCCTACACTGACGCACATCCGCTAGAGTTGCAAAACGCGGACATCTAGAATCGATAGTTGTGGGGGCTGGGGTCGGTTTCCCACTGTTCGCAACAAGCGCGAAGAACATCAGGGCACCCTCCCCGAAGCGCCCTCGATCTCATGCCTCGGTCCGAGTGTACACGCAGGAGTCACCCTACAAGGGTGACCTCTGCTGCGCGGCTCAAGTGAGTGGGCGGGGAGCGGTGTCACACAGGCGTTTCCGCCAACGGGGCCGCCTGTTCCTGGGCGGCTGGGAAGTTGATATCTTCGCCTGCCACCGTCATTCGGGGGTGTTCAGTCGGGCCTAGGATGATGTTCCCATCGGACTTCAGGACCACAGCCCCCCAAAGTGATTCCGAGCACCCAGGAAAGTACCGAAACAGTGTCGAATGAATATCGCAGCATCGCCTCCCAAGGCCCGACACGTGAAAACCCTCCAGGTCCGCTACTTCCTCGGTGCTCGAAGTTTCCTTCTGGTGATCGAGGCTAAAACAGGTTGAGACATCCGAAACCTATAGGACAGAAGAACATCCTCCAAGCATGAGGCCCTCCGCCGGGGGACCCCTGGGGCCGACGCCGACGGCCACTCGGGCGCAAGGTCACCTTCTGTGGGCCGCCGACGCCAGGAGTGCGCGCTGTACCGATCCCAGGCCCAGGATTCCAGATCACCGAATGTTGTGGATGCCACGACAAGGGACACCCTAACAGTCCTACCATCGAATGACACATGTGTTTAGAATGTCGGAAAGCTGTCATGAATATGTTCAACACATGTTTTCGGACATGCTTAAAACAAGTATAGCACATCTTTTAAGTCATATGGAATTTGTTTGGCAACATGCTTCCTCTCCATTGATTTGGGCGCCCGAGTTATCCGGGGTAACTCGGGTCCGGGGTAACTCGGGCTTGGATTCCCGAAAAAAACGAACCCGAGTTATCCCTGACCCGAGTTACCCCGGATGATTCGGGGCTCTGGACGCCCGAGTTATCCGGGGTGACTCAGGTCCGGGGTAACTCGGGCTTGGATTCCCGAAAAACGAACCCGAGTTATCCCTGACCCGAGTTACCCCTGATGATTCGGGGCTCTGGACGCCCGAGTTATCCGGGGTAACTCAGGTCCGGGGTAACTCGGGTTTGGATTCCCGAAAAACGAACCCGAGTTATCCCTGACCCGACTTACCCCTGACGACTCGGGGCTCTGAATTGATCGCCCTCCACAAACCGAACGTCGCGCGTGGGGACAATCGATGCGCGACGCGCGACCGTCTTCGCGCCACGGGGCCGCCCCCCGGGGAGCAGAGCAGCCGCTCCGGGGGACAGGCCGCGACGCGCGAAGCACGACCCTCTTCGCGCCACCGCGGGTGACCTATAGGGATCGGGCCTGCCAAGATCTGGGGATGGCTGAGCAGGGATCGACCGTCCGGGCATTCCTACAGCCCTACCACGATATGTTCTTAGAACGCAAAAATGTTCGAATAACGAAAACAAGGTTCTTAGAACAGAAGCCCGGTGTGAGAAAACAGGACAGACTCCGCCAGACATGTTCTGAGAACATATCGTGGGAGCCACAAAAGGTTCTTAGAATATTCTTTGGTGGGATTATAGGCGAGGCAGGACGCTTCGCCACTGCTCGAGATAGGGCGGATACCTCGCACGCCGGCCCCAGGGGGCTGCAGGTGGAGAGGGGACGGGGCGGCAGATGACTCTTCCTGCTCCGCGTGCTCCTCCTGCTCCCCCTTCTCCCCCCCCCCCCAAAGCAATCATCTCTGGAGGGTCAGCAACAACTACATGGACGTACATGTTAACCAGTGTGGATCCCAAACAACGAGTTCTCGTTCTCTGGAGGTGGGCTTTGTATGGGAACTGCGTGGTGTGATCCATGTTCTGTACGCTAGGTGATATGAGCTGTGTGGTGTAAGCTACACGGTGAAACCTAGGCGGCGGAAGAAATGCGATACAAGTTGGGCGGCGTAGGCTGTGAGGTGTATGCTATGTGGTGTACGCCACGATCTGTAAGCTAGGTGTTGTGAGCTATGTGGACAGAGCCATGTGGTGAAAGCTGTTCGGTGCAAGCTGTGTAGTGGAAGCTATGCTGTGCAGGCTTTGCCGCGTAAACTATGTGGCGTGAACTACACAGTGTAAGCTAGGTGGCGTGAGTCATATGGTGTGAGCTATCCAGTGCAAGCTGTGCGGTGTCAGATATTTGGTGTAGGCTATGTGGTAAAAGCCATGCAGTGCAAGCGGTACTGCGTGATTCAGCCTGGACCCTCCACGCGGTGTGCCAGAGACAGGAGGAGGAGGAGGAGGAGGAGGAGGAGGAGGAGGAGGCGGAGGCGGAGGAGGAGGAGGCTGCGGTGCCAGTTGTGCTGCGCATGCCAGGCGAGGCAAGCTGTGCGGTGCAGGCTATGTGTTGTGTAGGCTGTGTGGCGTGCGCGATTTTTGGTGCTTGCAGGGCGCGGGCGGGCACCACGGCGGAACCTCGGCGGACCCAGCCAGCGCTCGGCCCTCACACCTCTTCTATGAAGGGGAACTGGGACACACAAATAAATACACACAAATACAATTATCCCCCATATTTTCCCATATTTTCTGGGTTTCTGTCTTCCCCCCCACTTCCCATATTCTCCCATATTTTCTGGGAATCGAGGATGAATTGTGTCTGTGTGTTTCTTTTCCTCCTGATTCTAGCCCCACAGGGCACTCCACCCAGGGCCCCAGTGGCTGCGTTCACGTGCGCTTTCGGCCCCCCCCCCTTGACACGCTGCGTGGCCCCATGTGTGTGGAGCTCCACCGCAGGCGTACAGCAGGCTCGCGGCGTGTCGACCCCGGCGCTGGTTCCCGACACCGCGGGGATCGTTCCTCCTCCCCCTCCTCCTCCATCCTCCTCTCCTCCTCCTCCTCCTCCTCCTCCTCCCTCATCCTCCTCCTCCTCCTCCCCTCCTCCCTCCTCCTCCTCCTCCTCCTCCTCCTCCTCCTCCTCCTCCTCCCTTCATCCTCTCCCCTCCTCTCCTCCTCCTCCCCTCCTCCTCCTCCTCCTCCTCCTCCTCCTCTCCCTCCTCCTCCTCCTCCTCCTCCTCCTCCTCCTCCTCCTCCTCCTCCTCCTCCTCCTCCTCCTCCCTCCTCCTCCTCCTCCTCCTCCTCACCTCCTCTCCTCCTCCTCCTCCCCTCCTCCGCCTCCCCTCCTCCTCCTCCTCCTCCTCCTCCTCCTCCTCCTCCTCCTTCAAACTTGAACGATTGGCCGCTCAGTGAACGCCGGATCGTTCAGGGATGGGCCGACTCCTGGGCCGCAAGCGGCGTTCGACCCTACACGCCCGTGCTGGGGTCGCCGCCGGTCGACACGACGCGAACCTGCCGTACCCACCTGTGCTCGGGGGTGGACAGACCTCCCTTTCGTAAGCCTCCCCTCAGTGAGAGCGGCCTGGGACCGAAGCCGACGGGCCTGGGCCCGCAAAAATGGCGGCCGCGACGCCCTCTCGCGAACCGAAAACGGCCAAATCCTTACTCGACGTGTCAGGGTAGGAGGTCTATCCACCTCCGATCTGCCTCACACGCTCCGATGCCTCACAGTGAGCTCCACTGGAGGCTCCCGTTGACAGAGGGGTCGAGCGTGCTCCCGCCTCTCGTGGTCCAAGGGCGCCTGACTCAGCGCGTCGCGCTGCGCGAGAGCGCGGGCAGCTTCGCGCTCTCGCGCCGCCCCCCCAGGGGAGAGGAGGAGGAGGAGAAGGAGGAGGGGGAGGAGGAGGAGGAGGAGGAGGAGGAGGAGGAGGAGGAGAAGGAGGAGGAGGAGCTGCACCGCGAGGCGCGCAGCGCGAACATAACTTCGCGCCCTCGAGGGCAACCTTGCATTCTGGCACGCCCCTCGCATATGTTCTCTGCCCCACCCTCGCTTCCGGGAGCCCTCGGCCGCTTCTGCCGCGTGGTGCCCCGACAGCCCGCAGGGAGCCCCCTGTTTGATTAGGTCGGGCATGTCCTCGAACAGGCGGATTCTTGACGAAAAATACAAAATAGCCCAAACTATTGAAACATGTTGAACTAATGCTCGATGAATGGTCCCCAGCCTACTTTTTGACTATTTTGGGATATTCCTCGTGTAGAGGGACAGAGGGACAGGCCCGACTTAACTGTGCTACCCATGTCTGTGCAATGCCCAGCCATCCTGCGGTGTTGGGCCCTCGTTTCAAACCCGCAGAGCTCCGCGCCGTTCCTTCTTGCCGCGCCCTCCTCCCATCCCTACCCTTGCCATCCACGCGGCATGGTTTTCGTCGTAACTTCAGGTCAACCCAAATAACAAGGACGCGCGATAAGGATGCAAAGGCCTCCAAAGGCCATGTCTACGCTCTGCGAGCAGGGCGCGGCCAGCGAAAGCGGCCAAGGATGGGACGGATGGGAAGGATGCAAGGGTAACATTGGAAAGCCGAAAGCCGCTCATTCTCACTATGTGCGTTGACCGTATCATCATGGTCAGCATCCTCGTCAGCATCGTGCCCAGGCCGCCACGCACACTTCGGCACGCCTCTCACACGATCCGTGGCCCCATAAAAAAGGGAGCTCCACCGAAGGCATTGTGGCGGGGTCCGCATAAGGTCCCCCTGCCAATCTCGGCGCACCCCTCGTGGGTCCCACGGGAGCTTCAGCTACGGTCTTGGTGGGCGCAGGCGCATGGGCTCCCCCCACCCGCCCACTTCGGCGCACCCTCCAACGCTTCGTGGTCCCATCGGGAGCCCACTGAAGGCCCCGGTGGCAGGGTCCTCATGGCGGCCCCGCCCCATGTCGGCACACCCCTTTACGCGTTTCGGGGCCCCGCAGGGCAGGGGGCTCCACTGAAGGCCCCAGCAGCAGGATCCGCATATCACACTCCTGCACACCCCTCACATGCTCCGTGGCCCCAAAAGGAGCTCCACCGAAGGCCCAAGTGGCAGTGCCCGCATGGCGCACCCGCTCCCCAAGTCGGGGCAGCCCTTACACGCTTCCTGGCCTCACAGAGAGCTCCACAGACGTCCCCGGGTGGGTGCGTCCACTCGCGCTCCCCGCCCCTTGCACCGCACCCCACCCCTCACACGCGTCGTGCTCCACAAGGGGCGGCACAGCGCCGAGGACAGCCGGACACTCCCCACGAGGTCCTGCATGACCGTCTTCTGCAGCTGGGTCCGGGCGTCCACCTCCTCCACGAGGGCGCTGCGGCGGGACGACGCCTCCGCCAGCTGGTTGGTGGCGTTCTCGAGCCTCCGGCGGAGGCCAAGAGGCGTGGGCGGCCCGGGGGGGCGGGCACTGCACGCGTTCGCGGGGGGGGGCCGCGTCGAGACCTGGGCGACGGGAGCCCCGACTCAAAGGGTGCGTGCAGTGCTCCATCCCCAGACCTCCTCGAGTCGTGAAGAAATCACGACGGGGGGTTTTCGCTATTTTCGGCCTCTGGGGGCCCTTACCGGGCCTCGGGACCGTCAAAGAACGACTCGGGATGAAAAACCGGTCCCGGGGAATGGATCTGGACCTCTGGGGGTCGCGTCATGAAAAAATCATGACGTCGGGGGTCTGGGTCCCCAGACCCCCGACGTCATGAACTTTTCAGGACGTCGACCCCCAGCGGTCTGGACCCATCCCCCGGGACCGGTTCTCCGTCCCGAGTCGTTTTTTGACGGTCCCGAGGGCCGGCAAGGGCCCCCAGAGGCCGAAAATTATGAAAAACCTCCCGTCTTGATTTTTTCATAACTCGAAGGGGGTCTGGGGTGCGTGCAGTGCTCCATCTGCGCCCCCGTCGCGGCCACGGGAGCCTGGCCACCGCCTGGTGCACGGGGGCGGCGGACTGCTCGTTGCGCTGGAAGTACTGGCCTCGGAGTGCCCGGCCTGCCCCCTCGGCTCTCGAGGGTCGACCGGGCGAGGCCGGAGGGCGTTTTCTCGGCCCACGCTCGGCGCTGCGGGCTATAGCCTGCCCCGGGCCCTCTGGAGGCCAGGATATCTCGGCCGCCAGCGACGCCTTGCCACCTCGCAGGCCACCGGTGGCAGGCCTCCCTCGAGGATCTGGTGCCCAGGCTTCCCAGGCCAGCCGGCCTGGCGCTTCGAGCCACGCGGTGCGTGGCGCGCGGTTGCTTTTGCGCTCTCGCGCGTGCCGCCCAGGAGGAGGGCGCCTCTGTGGCCAAGGCCGCGGTGCGCGGAGCGTGATCTACTCCTCGCCCCTCCTGCGGGCGACCTCGATGTTTTTGGACGTCGCTCGCCCGTCTGTGGGGATCTGAGTGGGTTGGATGTGTATTCGCATCCTGAGTGGGGTGCCTGCTCCCTTGGGCCGCGCTTACTTACTACTCCTTCTCCCCCTCCACTCCTCCTTCAGCCGCACTGCACAACACCCGCCTCATGCGTGCATGCTTGCATACATGCATGCGCACGGGCCCACGATTACGCTGCACATGAGCATGTTCTTGTCACGCACTGCCGCCTCTCGAGTCCCAGACAGGGATCCTGCCCCTCCCACTCCACGACGACCTCCGCCCCACCGAGCTCCTCTTGCCTCCGGGGAGGCCACGCGGGAGCGTTGATCCCACACCATGGGTTTCGTGCTCCACCCGCTGCGGTCGGGAACCCCTTCCTTGCGTGCCGTGGCGGCGGCCCCGGCGATACGCCGTGCCCTGCGGGTGATGGTGTGCCGCCCTGCGTCGCCCGACGTGGTTGGCGCGCCGCACCGCAGCGTGGCGGGCCAGAACCAGCGGAGCGACACGCTAAGCCACAACTCTTGACCGCAGACCTCGGAATACGTTCTAGAGTCTAGAGGCCACAGGAGGGGGGGGGGGAATACGAACCGACCTCTCGAGTCCATCGCCCCAAGATGGCTCCCAAGACGGCCAGCAAGCCCCCAATAGCCCCTCCCCCAACCTCCAGGAGGCCCCCGATAAACCCAAATCAAGCACCTGGAGACCCCCGAGAGATCCCCGAGAATTGCCCAAGACACCCCAAAACGAATCCACGAGGCGTCCCAACAGATCCCCACATGTATCCCAGAGGCCGCTGATCTGTAATCCAGGCACGGTGGAGGGATGGGCCGAAGGCAACTGGGTCGTTGTCCAGGATCGTGCTCCTCCCACTGTACAGGGAGTCCACGCGGGAGCGCCACCACCTCTCCCAGTTGTTGCTTCCGTTTGCCAGGGGGATCGTGCCCAAAGCTCTTGCCCTCTTTCGAGCGCGCGCCACGGCTACCCCTGACGTGCTATAGATGGAGAGTTCCGACCGCATGTTTGCCTCAACTGGCTTGATTGCCCGGCGCCCTTGGGGAGACCTCTGGAAGGGCGCCGTCGACAGCGACTGCAGCAGGCACATCCGACAAGAGAACGTGTGTCCTCGAGCTCTGGAAACCCTGAGGGGCTCCACGGCTTCAGTGGGCCCCCGAGGCCGTCGGGGGATGAGAGACTTCCGTGGTGCACCTGCGGACCACTGGGGACTCCCGAACCCGGATAGCAGAGCGCCCGAAGAGCGTGCAAAGGCCTCTCGAAGATCTCTGGAAGCTCCTGGAGAGAGCTTCCGAATGAGCATCTGGAACACTTCACGGCAGACGTAAGGGCAGACGCCTCGAAGAGGCCTTCAGGGACCCGCCAGAACCGCCTGCCGGCCGCGCTGGGGATTTTTTGTTGACGGAAGCCGGAACGAGCTCCCGGGATGCCCTGCGGCTCCGCCTTCTGTAACTGAAACCCTCTCAGCCCTCGACGAGCTATCCGGGAAGTTGGACAGGTGCAGAGGTCGAGCTCCGGAGGCGGGTCTCATGTGCCGATCGCGGTCCCGGCCCGGCCTCCAGCTCGAGTCAGCCTCGGCGGCTGCGACGAGGGCGAAGGCACCGAAACGGGGAGGGCCCCGCACGCGCTCGTTCTCGAGCGTCGTCCAGCAGGGCGGCTGGTGCCCCGAGGCGCGTGCCGTGCTCCCCACCTGGGCGTCCCTTTTGGGATGCCCCGACCCGGGCCGGCGCAACCCTGGGCCGGCCGTGGCCCCACCGCGAAGCCTGGGCCAGCCGCTCCGTAGCTCCCGAGCCCGGGCCCGCGGAGGGCTCGGGCCGGGCGACAGGGGGGGATAGCAAAGGGGGGGTTTGAGAATCCCAGAACCCCTCGAGTTATGAAAAAATCCAGATGGGAGGTTTTTCATTCTTTTTGGCATTTGTGGGCCCTTACCGGCCCTCGGGACCGCCAAAAAACGACTCAGGACGAAAAACCGGTCCCGGGGAATGGGTCCAGACCGCTGGGGGTCGACGTCATGACAAATTCATGACGTCGGGGGTCTGGGATCAGCTCACGTCGCTGCTTTTCCCGGCGCCTCCCGGCGCCGGGAGGCGCCCACGTATCGAGGAATGGGCCCGGCGGCGGGGCCGAAACCAGCTGCATGCAGCAAATTTCGTACCCCCCCCTTTCCCAAATCTTTGCAGGAGTGGGAGGAGGAGGAGGAGGAGGGGGAGGAGGAGGAGGAGGAGGAGGAGGAGGAGGAGGAGAGGAGGAGGAGGAGGAGGAGGAGGAGGAGGAGGAGGAGGAGGAGGAGGAGGAGGAGGAGGAGGAGGAGGAGGGGGAGGAGAAGGAGGAGGAGGAGGAGGGGGAGGAGCCCGTGCAAGAGCCCCCCTTTTCGTCCGGCCCGAAAGGGCGGACGAGAGAGGAGTCGGCCACAGGTGGCTCCCACGCCGAGGGCCCCGCCGGAGGGGGCTGGCCGGCCCTGGAGGCGCCGACCCCCCTTGCGGCGGGCTCGTGTCGTGACGACCTTCCGTTCGGCCCGATCGGGGGCCCGAGGCCGTGCAAGAGCTACCACCCGTGGTGGAGAAGAGGCGCGGCGCGGCGGCGCCACCGTTCCAGGCACCCCGGGGCGCGGGCACCACTGCTCCGCCTGCTGCACCTTCTTGCTGTGGGAGGCGGACACCTCCGGGTGCGGATGCCACAACAATGGACACCCGAGCAGCCCTATCATTGAATTCAAGATGTGTTTAAACATAGGAAAATGTTTGAAACATGTCTTCAGTCGTTCGACAGGTCTACAGCATGTATAACACATGTTTATAGGCATCTGGAAATTACTTGGCGACATGCTTCCTCTCCATTGATCGTCCTTCACAAACCTCCGGGTGCAGCAGCGGGTCCAGGGCGTGCAGCTTCTCCCACAGCGCCGCCAGCTTCGCCCGGCCCAGCCGCGCGCGCGCGAGGTGCTGGAGCTGCTTGCTGTGCAGCACCCCGGCGTACTCCTCCCGACGGCACGGGGAGGACACGGCAGAGTCAGGTCGGGCATGTCCCCCTACAGGGGGGAATTTGGACGACAAGTTGTATAACCAAAGAAAAGTAACATGCTCCAGCACGGTCACAACATGCACAACAAATCGTCCCCAGACTAGTTTCAGACTCTTTTTGAACATTCCCCCTGTAGCGGGACAGGCCCGACTTAACATCAGAGCTAACAGGCACGAGGTTAAACTCTCGGAGGTCCGCGCGGACGGACATGCTCGCGGACCTCAGAACATCTATGTTTACATATGCTGTGTGTTTTGGCTTCCTCCTACGACATTGCGCATTTCTTCGGCCACCATATGATTTGGGCGCCTGGAATGAATACGGAAAGCGTGGGAGGTCTGTCTCGAACGGGCCACGTCCGCGACTCGACCGCTCGTAGCCGACCTGCGAACCAGCCGAACCGACCGGACTGCGGACGCCTTTGGCACCCAAATGCCCCAAATGGCGAATGCCTCGGGCGCGGATGCTGCTCCCGCGCTCCCCGAAGGGCGCGCACCAATACCAATCCGGTGAAGGGCCAATCTGAAGTGCAACCGAAGTCTCTCTCCTCCCCCCCTCGATTGAGGGGCAACGATCAAAAGGGGACTGGCCCACCGTGGGAAACATCGACCTGGAATCGGCGATACATCGCCGATACGTCGGCGATATGCCCCCCGACAGCGAGTCCCCAAGATCCTGGGGGGGGTCGCCTATCGGGCCCTTGCCGGCGATGAGCGGGCACTGGGGGTCGATGCACTCACCCATCGGGGACGGCCAAGAGGGGGGCGTCTAAGAGGGGGGGGGGGGGGGCACAAATCATGGCCGGAAGCATGCGCGCGGCCCAAAGGGGGGGGGGCCAGGGACATAACGAAATAAGAGGAGGCGCCATGAACTCGGAGAAAATATCATGGCCAACGCCATGATATCCCTCCCCCCTAGTCTTCGATGCCTGTCCCCCTACAGGCCGATTTTCGAAGAAAAATTGGCAATTGGGAATAGGCAGAAAATACCCCCAAAAGATGCAAAACATACAAAAAGAAGAATCCCCAGTGGATGGACAGGCCCGGCTTAACCCTTAGTCATCGCCCCCCTCTCTGCCGCTCACGAAACCCCAGGCCCTCGAGCCTCCCCCCCCAACATTGCTCCTGCTCCGGGCTGAGCAGGGACCGACCGTCCCGGCATTCCTATAGCCCTACCACGACATGCTCTCAGAACCCCAAAAATGCTCGAAGAACAAAACCCATGTTCTTCGAACACAAACCCGATGCGCTAAAGCAAGACAGACTCCGCCAGAAATGTTCTAAGAACACTTCGTGGGAACCTCAAAAGGTTCTTAGAACATTGCTCGGGTCGGGCGAAAGGGGGGGATAGCAAAGGGGGGGTTTGAGAATCAGCTCACGTAGCTGATTTTCCCGGCGCCTCCCGGCGCCGGAGGCGGCCATGTATCGAGGAATGGGCCCCTCGGTGAGGCCGAAACCAGCTGCATGCAGCAAATTTCGTAACCCCCCCTTTCCCAATCCCCCCCTTTCGCCCGACCCGAATTGCTTGGCAGGGCTACATCGGCGAGCCAGGACGCCTCGCCTCTGCTTGACCGGAGCTGCTTCCGGGCCACGCCTCGCACCTCCGGCGGCCGCTCGCGGGACGACCCCCATGGGCACCCCATGGGCCGCGAGGCCTCGGCGAGGCGCGGCCGCCGGGACGCGCCCCCGATCGGCGGCGAGCGGTGGGGGGGGGGGGGAAGTGAGAGGGAGGAGGCCTTCTCGGAAGGCTCGGGAGCCCCCCGGCCCTCTGAGAAGCTGCCCGGGCCCTCCCCCGGCAGACAGACAGAAGCCTCTCGGAAGGCGCGAGGGCTCCCGAGAGGGCCCCGCCGCCTTCTGAGGAGGCCTTCTGCTTCTCAGCTCCCCCCCCCCTCTTGGGAACCCCCAGACCGGGTGGTGAGATACCAGGTGGCGACCTGGAATCCCGAAAAAAAGGTCACCGCTGGGTTTGGGGACGCGGGGCCACCACCGGGTTCTGTGACTCCTGGACCCACCAATGCCCGGGACATCCTCGGAAAACCGCACGAGTCCCCAAACTGGGTGGTGACACCAAATCGCCCGAGACTCACCGCCAGGTGTTGTCACCACCACGTCTGGGGACCACCAGCCCTCGCTCGCCGTCGGCCCCGCGGCCGGAAGGGGGCCCCGCCCAGAGCCGGCGAGCACGCTCGCGAGGACCTCGGGCTGCCCAGACCGGCCCCCGGCGTCGTGATGTTTCACGACGTCGGCCCCCAGATTGAGCAGGGACCGACCGTCCCGGCATTCCTATGGTCCTAGCACGGAATGTTCTCAGAATCGAAAAATGTTAAAATAACAAGAACAATGTTCTCAGAACATAGACCTGATGCGATAAAACAAGACAGACTCCGCCAGACATGTTCTAAGAACACACACAAAAGGTTCTTAGGACATTGTTTGGTAGGGCTACAGGCGAGCCAGGATGCTTCGCCACTGCTTGACCAGAGGTCTCGACCCCTTCCCCGGGAGCGGTTTTTCACCCTGATAGTCGTTCTTGGACGGCCCCGAGGGCCGGTACAAGGGCCCCCAGAGGGCGAAAGCAGCAACAAAAACCTGCCGTCGCGACTTTTTCATGGCTCGAGGGGGTCTGGGAACCTCGAACCCCAGAGATCCGATGTCGTGATTTTTGTTTGCAATACCTCGAACCCCAGACATACTAATACTGCATGTCCGCCTTGGAGGCGAGCGTCCGACCCGAACATATAGTATACCCATCTTGTAGTATATCGTTTCTCGAGCGGTGTGGCCAGAAAGCCCCGCCACGACGCATATGCTATAAGACTTCTCGGTGCGCGCGTCGCCCCTGGGGGGCCGACGAACACATAGTAGCATTAGGTCGGGCCTGTCCCCCTACAGGGGGATTTTCGACGAAAAATGACAAAGACTCCAAACATAATCCAAACATAGTCCAATCTGGGGACTATTCTTGGAATACTTTTTGGCGCATTTTTGGGGTATTCCATATTTTTCGACGACAATCCCCCTGTAGGGGGACACGCCCGACATAATAGGGGGACGCCGCATCCTCGAGGACCACGCTGGCGGCGTCCGAGAGGGAGGCGCCCTCGGCCGAGCTCGAGGCGCCCGCGCCCTTCTTGGCCGCCTGCGTGCCGGCGGAGACTGCCTGCGCCTGTGCGGGACATCCGCGCCCGTGCGCTCGCTGCCGGCCCTGCCCCCCCACCCCCCTCCAGGAGGAGGAGGGGGAGGAGGAGGGGGAGGAGGAGGAAGAGGAGGGGAGAGAGGAGGAGGAGGAGGAGGAGGAGGAGGAGGAGGAGGGGGGGAGGAGGAGGAGGGGGGGGGGAGGGGGGAGGGGGAGAAGGAGGAGGAGAGGAGGAGAAGAAGGAGGAGGCGGAGAGGAGGAGGAGGAGGAGGAGGAGGAGGAGGAGGAGGTAGGAGGAGGAGGAGGGAGGAGGAGGAGGCGGAGGAGGAGGAGGAGGAGGAGGAGGAGGGTGAGGAGGAGGAGGAGGGGGGAGGAGGAGGTGGAGGAGGGGAGGAGGAGGAGGAGGAGAGAGGAGGAGGAGGAGGAGGAGGAGGAGGAGGAGGAGAGGAGGAGGAGGAGGAGGAGGAGGAGATCCTGACATTGGCGGCGCGCATACGCCTCGGCTACGAGGCAGAAGTAGGGGTCTTCCAGATGGAGTCGGAGCGGATGGGGTCGGAGGATCCCGCCGCATCGCCGATGCATCGGCACCGGCGATGCATCGGCGACGTTGATGTGAAGCAAATCGGGCTCCACAACGAGCTGGCGATGAGGCGATGCATCGGCGATGCGGCGCGAGCCTCCAACCCCACCTACTCGGACCCCGTCTGGGAGGCCTAGAAGAACGGCTGACTCTGGTGCTCGAACGACTGTGAGTGGAGGAAGGGTTCGAAGGTAAGTCGTAGAACGGGCCCATGAAGCCCAGATCCCCCGACGTCATGACTGTTCCATGATGTCGCCCCCCCCAGCGGTCTCGACCCTGGCCCTGGACGGTCCCGAGGCACGGTGAGGGCCCCCAGAGGCCGAGAATAGCGAGCAAAATCCCCGTCGTGAGTCTTTCATGGCCCGAGGGGGTCTGGGAGTGGCATGGGGGGTGGCATAGGCTGGGGCAGCTGCAGTTCTGGACGAGCGAGGTCTGTGCACACCGCCGCCGCTGGCCAGGCCCTTCCGCGGCCCAGGGCTAAGTCGGGCCTGTCCCCTAAAGGGGGATTTTCGAAGACAAATGAAAAATAGCCAAAAATATTGAAACATGGTCAAAGAGTACCCAACAAATCGTCCCCATACTATTTCTGGACTACTTTTGAATATTCCTCCTGTAGAGAGACAGGCCCGACTTAAGCCCAGGATCGGTGTGCTCCCCTCCTGGCTCCGCCGGGGGGGGGGGGGCGGCACGTGGCGTGCCTCGATCCCGGGTCACGCCCGGGGCCCGGCTTGTCATCGGCGCACGTCTGCACAGAGTCCCCTTCGCCAGGCCCTGGCGGCGCGCACGAGGGCCGCGAGCGGCGAGCTTACCCGATATATATGTATATATACACACATATAATGTATATACACATCTCTCTCTCTAGACATACATATATATATATATATATACACATATCCACGCCCTGGCGGTCTGCATTCCGGGACGCGATCCCAAGGATGCGCGGCCAGGGGGGCTATTGCCCACGGGGCCGTGGATCTGGATACGTTTTCCTCCAAGGGCCCCCCCCTCCCAGGCACTGGCGGTGCGCCCCCCAGGGAGGTCAGCGCGCGCGGGGGGGGGAGGCTCCTATATAGGAAGAACAGAACCACATGAAAGTTAACTCTCAGAGGTCCGCGCGGATTTCTAGGATCAGCGCTGGTCCCCTCTTCCTGGCGCGAACAGCGCGCTAGGGGCGGCGCCGGAGGTGCCGCCGGGGGGGGGCCCAGCGTCGGACAATTTAGGTTTACGTTGTTTTTTCGTCGTCGATCCTGAGAAGGCGGGAGGCTCATTGGAAGGCGGGGACCTCCTGAGGAGTGCCCGGACGGCCCTTGGGCTCGACCCGAGAGATCCGCGCAGACCTTCGGAAGCTTCTGCTCGTGCAGCTCTTCTGTGATGAAGGAACAACACGCGCTCAACCCTCTCTCTCTGTATATATTTATATGTATATGTATAAGAGACGCCATAACCATAAACCTTTGGCGCTCCGCGCGGACTTCTAGGATCGACGCTGGTCCCCCCAGAGCGCGCCAGGGGCGGCGCCGGAAGCGCCGCCAGGGGGGGCCAGCGCGGGTCCAAGAAATCCGCGCGGAGCGCAACAAGTTTGTGTTTATAGCGCTTGTTTGTCTTATGTTATGCTTATGTGTAACTTTATGTTTGAGTTTAGGTTTAAGTCTAAGTTTAAGTTGCTGTGCTAGTTTATGTTTAAGTTCACGTTTAAGTTTATAACCTTTCTTGGAGTGTATGCTTAAGTGTATGAGATGCTTATGCTTCTAACGTTTGTTTCTTCTTCGACTGTAGGGAGGAGCGAGGAAGGGCAGGGAGGTGAAGGCGCCATAGGTATGGGTGCGGGTTGTAGGGCCCCGAGGGGGCTCCCCTTCGAGCGCGGGCCCCCATCCGACAATACACACCATACAGTGGTTCGTGCGGCGTCGGCCTGCCCAAAAGCTTTGACACTGCGTCGATCGTTCGACCTTGAATCGATCACGGCCCCAATCGTTCAAAATTGAATTCCGTCGGGCCCACTGACAATACCGTGTGCATCCCTGCTTCCGCGTCGCGGAATTCAACCTTGAACGCCTTCGCCAGCGTCGCCGGCGCGCCAACGCCGCACGAACCCACCGTAGCCCCCACGGAATTCGCCACGGAGAATCCCAACCCCCCCGACGTCATGACTTTTTCATGACGTCGACCCCCAGCGGACTGGACCCATTCCCTGGGGGCGGCATTTTATCCCGAGTCGTTTCTTGACGGCCCCGAGGGCGGGTAAGGGCCCCCCAGAGGCCGCTCATAGGGAAAAACCTCCCGCCGTGATTTATTTCAAGCTTGAGGAGGTCTGGGAATCCAGGGGTCGCACAAATATGGGTGGTGGATGTCGGCTCATGATTCTGCTCTCCTCGACGAAATGGCTCTCGACCTTGCCAGGCCGCAGCTTCCCGATCGCGCCGCTCATTCAATGCCCAGGGACACACCAATCCGTCGACCCTGTCGGCGTGTGGAAGAGGCTGTCCCCGTCGTCGTCGCCGCTTCCCCTCCATTCCCGAAGAGGCTGTTGACGCTGCTCGGTTTGACTCGTCGTCGTCGTCGTCGTCGCCGTCGCCATCGTCGCCGCTCCCTCCCCCCCTTTTCCTCGGTCCTCCTCCTCAAGCGCGCCAGCCAAAGCGAAAACGAAATGCCAACGCAAAATCGGAATTCAACAACGTCGTCATTGATTTGAAAGGAAGCCCCTTCCCCTTCATCCCTTCCCCGCCAAGGGGGGGGGGCGGGGGGTGGTCCCGGAGCGGGGGTCCCGGGGGGGGGCCCGCGGGTGCGGCAAAAGGGGGGGATAGCAAAGGGGGGGGGTGAGAATCAGCTCACGTAGCTGATTTTCCCGGCGCGCCAGATGCGGCTATGTATCGAGGAATGGGCCCCTCGGTGGGGCCGAAACCAGCTGCATGCAGCAAATTTGGTACCCCCCCCGTTCCCAATCCCCCCCTTTCGTCCGGCCCGAGGGTCGCAGGGGGGTCCCAGGTCAGAGCACCATCCCCCTCGGGGGCAGGGGCTGGCCTCTAGAACGTCCGCAGACGAGCCATCAGTGCTCCCAGAGGCGCGCAAGACCTTCCAAGAGAACCCCGAATCGCCGAGCGATCGGTCCAAGACGTTTTGACAGCCTCCAGACGGCCCTCTAAATGCCTGGCAAGACGCCCCAAGACACATGGAGGAGCGCTCCCAAGAGAGCCTCAAAAGGGGGGACGACGCAGTCATTTTCGCATCGTCCTTGCAAGGATTTCGGCATTCTCGCCGTTTCTGCTTCCCGATTCCCCCCCAACAAAAAAGACCACGAGGCCCCCAAGATCGCCCCAAAACGACTCGAAGAGGCCCCCGAAACCGTCGAATGAAAGGGCCCGAAGACGGCCCCAAACGGCTCCAAGACGGCCCGAGAAGCCCCCGAGACGGCTCCAAGGACCATCCCGACGAGGGAACCCAGCGGACATGTCCAGCCCTCGGCCCCGAGGTACTCCCAGGAGGCCCCAAGAGACCCCCAAAAGCTTCACCAAAGGGTCCAAGGGGCCTCGAAGAGGTCCCCAGGAAGCCACAACAGCCTCCCAAGCAGCCCCCATGAAGCTCCCAAAAGGCTCCCACGAGGTCCCAAAACTCACCCCCGGAGGCCTCCCAGACCTCTTCCTCCCCATGCTGACGCTTCCCCGCCCCCTCCGCGTCACCCTCCTCCCCGTGCTCCTCCTTGCCCTGTCTCCCCGACCCCCATTCTCCTCGCCCTTCTGCTGTTCACTCCCCCCCCGTCCTCCCCCCTGCCCACGCTGCCCCTCCTCATCCTCCTCCGCATCCTCCTCCCTCTCCTCCTCCTCCTCCTCCTCCTCCTCCTCCTCCTCCTCCTCCTGCTGCTCCACAGCGTCCCCCGCGTCCTCCTACTCCCCCTGATCTCCATCCTCGCCTCCGTCGTCCCCCTCGTCTTCGTCGTCGTCTCGCCTTCGGGGTCGACGGCACCGGTCGCAAGGCCTTCGCAATAAGAGGGCAGAGATCCAAGGATCCCCCAGATTCTCCCACTCCCCATGATGGGCCTGTTTTCCACCACCATCACCATTGGGGGTCGACGCCATGACGAAATCATGACGTCGGGGGTCTGGGTGGGGAGGGGCGGAGGCGGTGGAGGAGGGGGAGGGGGAGGAAGGGGATCAGAATCGAGTCCCGGTCCAGCTTACAGAAATCTGCGAGCTCGACACGACTGAACTGTACTCTGAGAGGGTTCTTTCGAAACCACACAACTTGCAATGCAAGCCCGCCTGGGGCTCACAGCACAAACTGCACTGGCGCGAGGAGGGGGGTGGATGAGGATGAAGAGGATTGAGGATTAGGAAAATGATGATGATAATGATGATGATGCTGCTGATGATGATGGTGATGATGATGGTGATGACGATGGTGATGATGATGATGATGATGATGATGATGATGATGATGATGATGATGATGATGATGATGATGCTGATGCTGATGCTGATGCTGATGGTGGTGGTGATGATGATGGTGGTGGTGATGATGATGATGATGATGCTGATGCTGAATATGATGCTGATGCTGATACTGATACTGATGATGATGATAATGATGATGATGATGATGATGATGATGATGATGATGATGATGATGATGATGATCATGATGATGATGATGCTGATGATGATGATGATGATGATGATGATGATGATGATGATGATGATGATGATGTGATGATGTGATGTGGAGGAGGAGGAGGAGGAGGAGGAGGAGGAGGAGGAGGAGGAGGAGGAGGAGGGGGAGGAGGAGGAGAGGAGGAGGAGGAGGAGGAGGAGGAGGAGGAGGAGGAGGAGAGGAGGAGGAGGAGGAGGAGGAGGAGGAGGAGGAGGAGGAGGAGGGAGGAAGGAGGAGAGGGGCGCGAAAGCAGGCGGATTCGCCCTGCCGCCTTCGAGGCCTGCGCGGCGACCCCGCCTTTGCCCCGCGCCTGCAGCTCGCTGGCCGCCGCGATCTCCAGGAGCACGTCGGGCGTCTTCCGCGGCGCCTCGCGGGGCACCGGGAGCAGGGACACCGCCACCACCGGGGACCACCCGCGGGAGGAGCCAGGGGAGGCTCCCCCGGCGGCGCCCCCTCCCCCTCCCGCTCGAGACATCCCCTCAGTCGACCCGTATCAGAAGGATGCGCGGTAAGGAAGCAGGGGCCTTGGAGGCCCACGTGAACGTTTTTCGAGCGAGGTTGGCCAGCAAAGGTCGCTAAGAATGGGCCGAGGCGGCCAGGATGCAAGGGTACCCTTTGGAAGGTGGCCCATCTTTACTACGCAGGTGGACTGGATCCCCAGCCCGGGGAGGCATCGTGGACCTCCTTGCTGGCGCCCCCCCACCTGGGGCGGTGGTTTCGCCCTTTCGAGTGTTTTTCAGTTCGGCGTTTCGACATTGGGCGGAAGGGGGGGAGGAGGGGGGTCAGGCTCCAGACCTCTGCTCAATGCGACTGTTGGCAGCAGATCGTCCTGTGGGGGTGTTTGCAGCAGTGCGTCCTGCGGGGAGACTCCATCCGCTCGAGACAAGCGCCCCCCAAAACAGCCAAGATCTGTTCCATGGGGGGGGGAGGGGGGGGGGGCGAGGGCTCGCGCCGATCGGCAAAAGAATGCCTGAAAGAAAACGATCACCTCCTCGCTGGCGCCCTGCCCTCCCCAAGCCCAGACCCCCGACGTCATGAGTTTTTCATGACGTCGACCCCAAGCGGTCTGGACCCACTCCCCGGGACCGGTGTTTCGTCCCGAGTCGTTTCTTGACGGCCCCGAGGGGCGGTAAGGGCCCCTCGGAGGCCAAAAATGATGAAAAAACCTCCCGTCGCGATTTTCTCCTAACTCGAGGGGGTCTGGGAGGGGCGGTGGTTTCGCTCCTCCGCGAAGCTGCGAGGAACGTGTGCAGCGAGTGCGCGCGGTGCTGCGACGAGCGCCCTCCGCCCGTGAGGCTGCCGCGAGCGTCTAGCCCGCACGCGGGCCGCCCTCCGCGGAGCCGCTGCAAGCTTTGGAGACGAGCGTGCGCGGCGCTGAAGGCGAGAGCCACACGTTGAAAACCACCCGAATCTCTATTGTATATATTTTAGTAATATATTAGCTTTTTTTTAAAAAAAATTAAATCCAATTTTAGTTACATAGTTTATCTGCCCTCGATCCGTGAAGCTTCTGCAGACGCTTGAGACGAGCGTGCGCTGGCCTCGCTGGCCGACGCCGCGAGCTCCAGCAGCAGGTCGGGCGAGGGCGGCCTCGGCGCCGCGCCGCGCCGGGCGCCGCGGCCGCGGCGCCGGGGCGGGCTGCGGCGGGCGAGGGCCTCCTGGGGGCGCAGCCGTCTGCTTCCGGTTCGGCTTAGGTCGGGCCCGTGCCCCTGCAGGGGGATGCCAGGCGAGAAATGAAGATACAAAGGAACAAATACTCCCCCAAAAGGCCCAAGAATAGTCCAAACATAGTCCCCAGACTATGTTTTGACTCTTTGGGACTATTCCCCCTGTAGAGGGGCAGGCCCGACCTGAGGTTAGGCTGTTCCCATTGCACTTGAGGGCCAGATCCCCAAAATACTCTCGGGCACCCAGACAAGCACCCAGGCATGATAGCGTCGTAAGAAAATCAGGACGGCAAAATTTTCACTATTTTCGGCCCTTGGGGGCCCTCGCCGGGCCTCGGGACCGTCAAGAAACGACTCAGGACGAAAAACCGGTCCTGGGGAAAGGGTCGGGACTTCCAGGGACGCCGTCCTGGAAACATCAGGACGTCGCATGTCTGGGTATCGAAGCGGCGTCGAACGAGTAGCGCCTCCCAAGGCCGACACGTGAAAGCCCTCCAGCTTCGGTGCTGTCTTAGTGCTCGACATTCTTTCCGGTGAGCAAGGCTAAAGTACTCCAGATTTCGTAATAAAAGGAGGGGGGTCTCATTTCGGGCGGGGGGTCTCTTCCAGGCTGTCTTGGAGGGCCTGGGGGGTCTGGGGACGATGTTTTGGAGGGTCCTCCCACGGGGGAGGTCTGCAATGGCTTGTCTTGGAGGGTCCAGACCCCCTCCCTTTCATTACGAAATCTGGAGTAAAGGTCGGTAATTTCTGCTCATTTCTAAGTGCGCTCGATTCTCATGGTTCCTGGTCCCCTAGTGGCCAGGAAGAGGCCCAGGATAGAACAATTGGAAATGAAAGGACCTTGGCCCCCCCAAAAAATCAAAGAACTTCCGAATAATCAGACATGAACAGTAATTTGCTACCCGCAACCGACATGAACAATAATTACGAAATCTGGAGTAGGTCGGAACATCATAAGCTTCCGGTGAGTTTCGATCCGACCGCCCTCGGCCCTTCCGAAAATGTCCGTTCCCGCTGCAGCGGGGGCCCCGTTTTCGGACCAGCGATCTCTGCTCCCGTCCTTCACGATGGCGCTCTCACCACAGGAGCCGGCCACACTTCTGAGCTCGAGCCCTTCCTCCTCGTTGTCTCCCTGCTCCTCTCCCCTCCTCCGCCTTCCTCTGGTCCTCCTCCTCCCTGGCCGTCGCTCGGACGTCCATTCCCTGTGCTTTCTGTCGGCTTCCGTGCGTGGCTTTTCCGCCAGATGAGCAAGGATGCTCCTCGGTGGTCCTCGCCGAAGGAAGCCGTGCACACGCCCGAGCGATGCCGGGCCGCGTGCCGCGGCGGCGGCCCCGGTGGCACGCCGTGCCCTGCAAGAGCGCGGAGGACGCACCAGGCCCGCCCGGCGCCGTGGGGCGACGAGAGCTGCACGGAGGGAGGACGATTGGAGATAGAGAGACAGAGGAGGGAGGAAGGAGGAGGCTGGAGAGGGGAGGGCGAAGAGAGGAGGGAGGAGGGTGATGGGAGGAGGATTAGGGGAGAGAGGAAGAGGGAGGAGGAGGGTGGATATGAGGGAGAGGGGAGGGAGGAGGGAGGTAGGATGGGGAGGAAGGGGCCGTGCCCACGGCTCCCTGGCCAGGCCCACCCTGAACCCAGCAGCGACGCTCAAGTCGGGCCTGTCCCCCTACAGGCCGATTTTGAACGAAAAATTAAAAATACCCAGAGAATGCACTAAAAATTATCGAAGATGGTAGAAAATAGTTCCCCGTCTATTTTTGGACTATTTTTGAACTGTCCCCCTGTAGAGGGACAGGCCCATCCTGAGCCCAGCAGCGGTGCTCTACGCCACGCCCTCCTGGCTTGGCTTATGTGGCTCCCATCCTATTTATAAGGACCGCATCCCAAAGATAATTTCGAGCACCCAGAAGAGTGTCGAAAGAGTGTCGAAACAGTGTCGGCGAGTGTCTCCCAGGGCCCGACACGTGAAAACCCTAGAGATTCGGTACTTTTAATTGTGCTCGAAATTCTTCCTGGGAGTCAAGGCTAAAGTAGGTTTGAACATCATGAGGCTTGGCCTGGGGGGGGGCTCTGCGCAGCTCTCCTGGGTTCGGGAGGTGCCTGGCCAGAGGGAGCCGTGGACATGTAGAGCTGGAATTCGCCGCCCGGCGGGAGGCCTTAAGGCTGACAGCTCCGAGCGCGGTGACGCCCGTGTGGCGAGGACGTGGCTGGCGAGCCGCGCCCAAGCGTGTTTCGGAGGCGCGCAAGCATGGATTAGCGATCCAGGAACCCAAACCTCCAACGCATTGAAAAAATCTAGACTGAGTTGTTTTTCTATTTTCGGCCTCTAGCGGCCCTCGCTGGGCCCCGGGACCGTCAAAAAACGTCTCAGGATGAAATACCGGTCCCGGGGAATGGGTCGAGACTTCTGGGGACCCCGTAGTGAAAAACTCACGACGTCGGATCTCTGGGTTCGAGGGCGCGCAAGCATGGATTAGCGATCCAGGGACTTGGCGCGCGGCCGCCAAACCCATGGATCGGGGGAGGCGCCCTCCCCAAACTGCGGCCTGTGGCGGCGGAGGTCCGCGATGTCTCAAGGAAGCAGGGCCCGTCGCTGATCCCCGCCCCCTTGATCCGTGCTTGCGATCGCCCGAGTGGTGGGCCAGCACCGGCGGCGCGACGCGCTAAGACACTGGCAAGTTTACTTGCATGGACAGGGGGGGGGGGGGGGCTGAGCCTGAAGCAAGCCGCAAACGACTTGCCGTTCGGGGGGGCGCGGAAAATCACGCAAGTCGAAAGGCACTTGCACGCTAGTATTCGCTTGAAGAGGGCGAGGGAGGGGGGGGGGGGGGGGAGGCCATGCAAGTAAACTTGCCTGAATCCCAAAAAAACAGGCTCTAAGCCACCGTGCCTGACAGCCGTGCCCGGCCAAGGCCACCCGGGGCCCCAGCACGGTGCACGCGCCGGCCCTGGCCGAGGCCCGGCGGGCCCGTGCGCCGCCGGGGGGCCCAGGGGGCTGCCCGATCCGAGCGTGGCGCTGGCGCTCAGAGGCTGGAGGAAGCACAGGCCCGCCCTGAAAAATCGTGACGGGGAGTCTGTCGCTGCGTTCCCAGACCCCCTCGCGTCGTGAAAAAATCACGACGGGAAGTTTTCGCTATTTTCGGCCTCTGGGGGCCCCTACCGGGCCTTGGGAGCGTCAAAACACGACTCAGGATGCAAAGCCGGTCATGGGGAAAGGGTCGGTGGGGGTCGACGTAATGAACAAATAATGACGTCGGGGGTCTGGGAAAATCGTGACGGGGAGTCTGTCGCTGCGCTCGGCCTCTGGGGGCACTTCCTGGCTTCTGGGACCTGCCAAAAAACGACTCGCGGGGCGGAAAACCGGTCCCGGAGAATGGGTCCGGACCGCCGGGAGTCCACGTCACGAACAAATCCATGGTGTCGGGCCGCCCGGTCCGAGCGTGGTGCTGGCGCTCCGATGCTGGAGGAGCAGGGGACGGCGTAAGCATGACCGGCATAAGCGGTGCGCCAGGGGCGGCTCCAGAGGGGCGGCTCCAGAGGGGCCTCCTTGGTATGTCTGGGCCTCTGGAGACCATCCGGTGCCTCCGCGAGGCCTCCGACGGCCGCTTCTGGCGGGGGGGGGGGGGGGGAACAGACACCGATAGCCCCAGACCTCCGTAGGGGTGCGGTCTGACCAGAGTTTCGGGGAGAATCCAGCGGTGGCGACGAGGGCCTCCCGGGAGGCCCCCAAAGGCGAACACGAAGGAAGGGCAGCGGTATAGTAGTACCTCTTCCTCCCCTGAGTTCCCTCTTCCTCGAGGTGCCCTGCGCGGAGATCCTGCACGAAGGACGCGGCGCCGTCCGCAGCCATGAACGCCTTCGCGGCCGAGTGGAGGTCCTCCGCGGCGGGAGCGCTGGCGACGGCCGCGCCGCCGGGGCTCCACACCTTGTACTGCGTCGGGAGGGCGCCTAAGACGAAGCCAGGACGAGGATACAATCGAGTGAAGATGAATCTCGGCGGCGGGCCCAGGGATGGAAAAGAGAAGGGGCGGCCCTGGACGTCCGAAAAGTTTTCGCTCAGCAGGCCGGAGGGCTTCTGAGAAGCCCCGCCGCCCTCTGAGAGGGCCTTCTCCTTCTCATTTTCCCCCTCTCTCTCTCTCGCCGCCGAACACCGAGAATCTCTAAGATCCGGCGGCTCTGGAGGATGTCTCGGGCGCCGCGGCCGTCGCAGAACGTTCCAGGACGCTCCGAGAGCGTTCCGGAGCGCTCTGGAACGGACTCGTCCCCGTCCTGGCCCTGCCCGAGCGCCGTCGCTCGAGTAGAGGCTCTGCATGACGGCCACGTCCGGGTCGAGCTTGGGCTTCTTGGGGTGGCTCTTCTTCATCAGCGACTGCCAGCCCCCGGACCTCGGGTGTTCTTCGGGAGCGCCGGGCGCCTCTTATATATTCAGCTTTGGAAGATCGAGGCTGCTTGACATATTCTGGGCGCCGCTGCTGATACGTTATCGGGTCTGGAATGGGCCCGTGGCCCACCTGCCCGTTCATTGTCCGTTTGCGTTGCGCTTCTCAAGCGTTTTGCGACACCGCAGTGCCGCATGCCGCATGTCTGACGCCAACTTGCTGGGGTGCCGTTTTTAACACGTCTGCGTGGAGTCAATAGCGAAACGTGGAAAACGAGCGAAAGAGAAACGCCCCCAGCGCTTTTAGGAACAACTAGAACCATTTTCGAAACCTCGTGATAACGCCCGTGACCAAATCCCCCCTGGTAACGTCACGATTCGCGCCGGCGCCGTGCGGGAATCAACCATTCCTAATCATTCCCAGACGGCGCCGGCGCGAATCGTGACCTGATTGGCCCCCTCCCTCCCCCGTTATGATGCCTACTAAGCACCGCCAGGGGGGAAAACAACTGTCTCTGAGCTCCGGACAGCTCGGAGGAGATGGACGGGTGGTGGTGCTTCGGGAGGTCGTCGTCGTCGTAGACAACCCCGTCGTCGCTCGGCGGCGGGGTCGTCGTCCGCTGCTGGACGGCAGCCACGGCCCGCTTGTGCCCCCTCCTGGTGGCCCCCAACAGCACAATCGCGCGCGCTGTGCAGTGCTCCGGGGGGGGGGGGGGAGGCCCCAGGGCAAGGCCGAGCGCTGCAGGTGTCTGACCAGACATGGACCAGGAAGCAAACGACACCACCCAACCTACGGCGGCCCACGGCCCCAGGGGGCCCAGCGTACACCAGGAAATCTGGCGTGGGCCTTTGCGTGGTATGCGCTAAGGCACGGCCCCCGATGGGGCCGTAGCGCAATACGGAGGGCCACAGGCGGGGTGGTGCCGTTTTTGGGGCGAAGAAAAAGCTTCGCGCGAAGCTCTGCTCCAAGGAGACGCCCAGGGCGCCCGGGTGCTCCACGGGGCCGAGGGAACCCATCCAAGAGCCCGATCCGAGCGGCCCCTCGTCCCAGGGGCGCCCAGGGCGCCAACGCTGGGAGCCCAGGGACGCCCAGGACGAGCATGCCCGCCACGATTCCCTGGCGTCAGCCCGTCGGCAGCAGCTTGCCGCCACTGCGACCAGGGAGCCCTGGGGCCCCGGCGACCGCCGCCCGAGGCGGTGCTCGCGCGACGCTGGGAAAGGGCGTCGCTGGACGAAGAGCCCCAGAGCTGGCGGCCGCCGAGCGGCTCATCGTGGCGAAGCCTCCTGGCACCGGGGCTCGTGCACACAGAGCTCTTTCTCCCCAGACCCCCGACGTCACGAGTTTTTCGAAACGCCGACCCCCAGAGGTCTCGACCCCTTCCCCGGGACCGGTGCTTTCGTCCCGAGTCGTCTTTGGACGGCCCCGAGGGCCAAGACGAGCCCCCAGAGGCCGACAAGAGCGGCAAACTCCCCGTCGTGATTTTTGTCAGGGCGGGTCTGAGCCCCAAGGGCCGGCAGGGGCCCCCCGGAGGCCGAAGGAGTGGCGAAGAGCCTCCCGTCGTGATCTCCTCATAGCCCGAGGGGGTCTGGGCTCCCGTCCGCTTTTATTCGTCGGCCCGCCCCGTGGTCCGAATACAGTCGGGCCGCTGAAAGAAGGAACGCTAAATAAGGAACGGAGCCCCTTCTTGACCCTGTCAGCACCTCCGTGCCCCAGGAGGGCAAGGGCACAGCACTGGAGGAACCTAAGGAACATCGAGCCCCTTCCGAACCCAAGTTGTTCCTTATTTCAGCGTCTTGAGTGTGAGTCGCCGCGGCGATTATTTTTAGGTCGGGCCAGACCCCCTACAGGAGGATTGTCGAAGAAGAATGAAATATGATCAAACATACACCCAAAATGATCCAACACAGATTCAGAAAGTCGTCCCCAGAGTATGTTTGGGGCTATTCTTGAATACTACTCCTCCTGTAGAGGGACAGGCCCGACTCAAGATTGTTTCTTTGTGCGCGACTCGTTGGTTGAACTACGGAGCCGAACTCTATACACCGACGCCTTTGTCTGGCCTCACACTGAATCTCGCAGAGGAAAGCGGATCCTGGTGAAAACGGGATCCTGGTGTATACATTCTTCGTTGTCTCCCCCGGAAAACGGGGGACAGAGTATACACCACACCACCCCGACGTCGTCCCCGACCCTCAAAAAAGTCCTGGGATTGAAGAACCGCCCGCCACTAGTACTACAGATGCTCCAGTTTCCGATGAACAGCTTCGCGGCATGCGAACCATGCCACCCTGACGGCCTGCGCCGCGCGGCCGCGTCAGGGGCGCCACCCGAGAGGCCCAGGGAGGCCCTGATCACCGCCCAGAGCTCAGAGGGGACAAAAACGGACAGACACTCCTCCTCCTCCTCCTCCTCCTCCTCCTCCTCCTCCTCCTCCTCCTCCTCCTCCTCCTCCTCCTCCTCCTCCCCCTCCTCCTCCCCCTCCTCTTCCTCCCCCTCCTTCCTCCCCTCCTCTTCCCTCCTCTCCTCCTCGTCCTCCTCGTCCTCCTCGTCCTCGTCCTCCTCCTCCTCCTCCTCCTCCTCCTCCTCCTCCTCCTTCATTTCCTCCTCCTCCTCCATTTCCTCCTCCTCCTCCTCCTCGAGTTTTGCTCCTTCGCTCTCCTTAGCGGAGGGGTCTGGGTTCCCTCCCGCCTGTCGTCGCGCAGGGCGCGAGGAGAGCCGCGGGTGGGGAAGGGGGGGTCCGAGGGCCGGCCACGGCCGGCCCTCTCGGCCACGGACAGGGAGCCCAAAGAAGCTCGCAGCTATGGCGGGCAGCCTGTCTACGGAGGCCTCCCTGATGGGGTCCGAGCAGATGGGGTCGGAGGATCGCGCCGCACCGCGGACGCATCGGCGATGCATCGGTGATGCGCCAGCGATGCATAAGTCGACGTCGGCGATGCATCGGCGACGTCGACGTGAAGCATGTCGGGCCCACCGACAAGGAGCCAGAGTCTCGCAGCTCACAATCACCGCGCCGACCTCGCAGACGTGCTGCAGCGGGTTTTCGCGTGGGTCTCTGTCCACACAAGACCCCGAGATGGCGAACGACAGACGAAGTGCACTGCACGCGGATTCATTGTCATCTTCATCCCTGGCCAAATCGATCATCCGCGCGAAGCTCACTCCGAAACCTGGAACGAGCCTCTCCAGGACACTCCAGATCCCCACCCTCTTGTTCTCCGAGCGACATCCGCTCTGCGATGTGGGCGCCGTGCCAGCCACGGCGGGCAGCCTGTCGCGGGGCAGGCCCGGGGGCCGTCCAGGCCGCCCTCGAAGGGGGGGGGACGAGGGCCACACGGCGACGCCGCGGCTGCTCGAGCTGCCGAGCCACTGCGCCCAGACGCTGCACGGGCGCTCGTCAACCGCAGGGCAGGGGGGCCTCTTCTCGGAGCCCCCGGGCTCCTGTGCTTCGGCGGCGGGGTGGGCTTTGGCGAGTCCTCGTCGTCATCGTCGCTCTCGAAGTCCGCGACCATGTCCTCCAGCGCCGAAGGCTTGGCGGCCGTCGGCGCGTCGTTCGTCGGGTTCCATGCGGCGTACTGCGTCGGCACGCCTTGGCAGCTCGAGCCCCCATGATTGGCGGCGCGCAGAGGGGGTGGTGGAGGGGGGAGGGCTTCTTAGAAGGAGGCTGCCTTCTGAAAGGGCGCGGGGCTTACATCTACAGAAAAGGCCCGCGTCTTCTAAGAAGCAGGGGTGCTTCTAAGAAGCCTTCCCCCCTCCCCCTACCCCCCTCTGCGCGTGGCTGAAACAGTGCGATTCCCAAAGGTCGGAACGCGTTTCTGAAATCTGCGCCGCCCCCGCCAGACAAGCGGGCAACAAACAACTTCACACGCGAGGAGGGCCCACGGAGACCACGGTGGCGGCTCCTCAGACAGACGACGTCCTAATTTTTGTCAGGACGGCGTCCCTGGAAGTCCAGGCCCTTTCCCAGGGGCCGGTTTTTCATCCTGAGTAGTTTTTTGACGATCCCGGGGCCCGGCGAGGGCCCCCAAGGGCCGAAAATGGTGAAAAACTTGCCGTCCGGATTTTTTGACGACGCTGTCGTGTCTGGGCCTCGCGCTCGGCCTGGACATCCCTCGACGTCCCTCCTCGGACCCCTCCCGGCGCGCGCACCTCCTGGCCTGTCTTTCGACGCGGCTCCGGCCGTGGCGACGGGAAAGCCTCCGGGAGGCCTTCCCGGACCCCCGTCGCCATGAATCTTTCACTGGCCATCGCTCGGACGTCCATTCCCTGTGCTTTTTTCGGTTTCGTGCGTGGCTTTTTCGCCAAATGATCAAGGATGCTCCTCGGTGGTCCTCGCCGAAGGAAAAATGCACACGGCCGAGCGATGCCAAGTTCATGACACGGACCCCCAGCGGTCTGGGCCCATTCCCTGGGACCGGCTCTTCGCCCCGAGTCGTATTCGTAGACGGTCCCGAGCTCCGGCAAGGGCCCCCAGAGGCCGACCATAGGAAGAAACCTCCCGTCGTGATTTTCCCAGGAGGAGGAGGAGGAGGAGGAGGAGGAGGAGGAGGAGGAGGAGGAGGACCCGAGGGGGTCTGGGACGTTTTCGAAATCTGCGCCGCCCCCTCCGGTGAGGCCTCCAGGGGGACACACAGAAACGCCAGGCCGGGCCGCCGCTGCCTCGAGGCGGGCTCCCCCGTGCGGTGAAGTCGGGCGTGCCCCTCTGCAGGAGGAGCACTCCGAAATGGTCTACGGCAAGCTCGTGTCGTGACCACCCGGGCGTTGGTTCCTGACACCGATGGGATCGTTCAACCTTGAACGATCGGCGGCGGCCGAAACTCTTCGGATCGCTTAACATCGACCGATTCTGGGTCGCCGGCGGCATTCCACGTGGAACGTCGGCGGCGGGGTCGTCGCAAGTCGACACGACGCGAACCTGCCGTAACCAGTAGTCGGGGTCTTTCTATTATTTTGACCATGTTTGAGCATGTCTGGGCAATTTCCTCATTTTCGTCCCAAGCCCGCCTGTCAGTAGGAGGGCATGCCCGGCCGAACCCTACGGGCTTCGGGGGCTCCACAGTGAAAGGGCCCTGGGACACACAATTAAATACACTCAAATAGCAGGAGTCCTCATATTTTCATATATATATATATATATATTCTGGGATTGTGTCCTCCCCCCCCCACTTCCCATATGTTCCCATATTTTCCTTGGGATCGACGAGAAATTGTGTCTGTGTGTTTCTTCCCCTCCTGACACAGGCCTGGCATCTCGGTGTGCTCCGTCGCGGCCGCGTCCGCCGTGGCCGCGTCGGCCGCGCCGCCGCGGCCGGCAGCCGCCTTCTGCACCAGGCTGCCGTGCGCCACCGCCTACGGCACAGGCGCCAAAAAAAAAAAGCGAACACGCACGCCACCTCTCGCCATCGCTCGGACGTCCATTCCCTGTGTTTGTTGCCGGTTTCGTGCGCGGCTTCTTCGCCAAATCATCAAGGCTGCTCCTCGATGGTCCTCGCTACAAGAAAAATGCACACGTCCGAACGATGCCAAGACATTCATCGGTCCACGCCTCCCCCTCCCCCCAATCGGGGGCGCGCAAACACGGATCCGCGATCCATGGATTTGGCGCGCGGTCGCCACATCCACGGATCGGGGGAGGTGCCCTCCCCCAAATGCGGCGGCCGGTATCGCCCCGTTCGGCGGCGGAAATGCACGATTTCCCATGGAAACTGGACCCGTCGCCAATCCACGCCCCTTGATCCATGTTTGCAATCGCCTGTAAGTTGGCGGTGGGTCTGATGAGTTGCACTTCGACCGCAGTCTCCCCCGCGAATGCCAACTTTTGAGCTTGCGGGAGCGGGGGAGTGTCCACTGATTGTTGCCCCCTACTGTGCCTCAGTCCTCCGCGCGGGCGGCGGCGGCGGCGGCGGCGGCGCGGGCGTGTCGTCGTCCAGGTCCGACATGGGCGACGTCGCCGCGGGAGCGGTTGGCGGGGCAGATGCGGCCGGCGCCGCGCTGGCTGCCGAACGCGGGGCAGCGCTGTGCGGCGGGGGCCTGTCCTGATGGCTTCGCAACTTGCATCGCGACCCCGTGCGCGTTCGGCAAAGACGGCCGCGAACCAAACGCCGAGGGGAGGTGGAGCTAGTTCTTTCAGTTTCGGCGATCGCCCGGGTTAGCTGGTGTGGGGGGGGGGGGGGGGGGGCGAGAGAGGTGCCGGCGGATAGATCACCAAACCTCGCCGCTTTGGGCAGCCTCACGCGTGCCCGCGCGCACCAATGCGGCGCATCCCCTTCGGACCTGCGCACCCCACAGGGTCGGGTCATCCAGGGGCGAAGGGGCCGGGGGCGGGCCTGATAGCCCGGGCCGTCGCTGGGCCCACACAGAGCCAGCCCCCCGCCGGCTCGGAGCCGACCGCCTCTCTCCGAGAACACGGCGGCGCCCCGCGGCACGGCGCGGCACGGCGCCGCACGCCGCGGCACGCCGCGGCGCGGCACCGCCACGCCTGGCAGCTGGGCCACGCCTGCCTCCTCCTCCTCCTCCTCCTCCCTCTCCTCCTCCTCCTCCTCCTCCTCCCTCCTCCTCCTCCTCCTGCTCCTCCTCCCCCTCCTCCTCCTCCTCCTCCTCCTCCTCCTCCTCCTCCTCCTCCTCCTCCTCCTCCTCCTCCTCCTCACTCGGGGCGCCCGCCTGAGACCACCGTGGCACCTCGGCGCAGCACGGCACTGCTCGGGCACTGGCGGCAGGACCACGGCACGGAAGGGCCGCGCGACCAGATCACGTCTTGGTGCCCTCGGGGCCCCTCCCGAGGACCTTGCGACTCATGACTGCCGTCGCTGTGCACGGTTTCCCCCGGGGCCGTAGACGACCCGAGGAGGAGAAGGAGGAGGAGAAGGAGGAGGAGGAGGAGGAGGAGGAAATGGAGGAGGGAAATGGATGAGGAGGAGGAGGAGGAGAAGAGGAGAGAGGAGGAGGAGGAGGATGAGAGGAGGAGGAGGAGGAGGAGGAGGAGGAGGAGGAGGAGGAGGAGAGGAGGAGGGAGGAGGAGGAGGGAGAGGAGGCGGAATGAAGGGGAGGCGGAAGGAAGGAGGAGGAGGAAGGAGGAAGGAGGAGGAGGATGAGGAGAGGTAGGAGGAGGAGGAGGAGGGGGAGGGGGAGGAGGAGGAGGAGGAGGAGGAGGAGGAGGAGGAGGAGGAGGAGGAGGAGGAGGAGGAGGAAACCCATAAGCATACCGTTAGGTCAGGCATATCCCCTACAGGCCAATGTTCGACGACAAAGTAAAAATACCCACAACATAATTGGAAAAGGCAACACATACGAACGTCCCCTGACTATATGTTGATTAAGTTTGAATGTTTCTCCTGTAGAAGGACAAACCCGACTTCAAGATACCGCGTTCTGGGTCCACATTCCGACTGGCCTCCCTATGAAGCCACGATCTGGGCGGGGTGGACGCATGTGAACGCGGCCACTGGGGCCTTGGGTGGAGCTCCCCATGGGGCCACGAACCGTGTGTGGGGTGTGCCGAAATGAGCTTGCGGTGGGCGGGGTGGGCGCATGTGAAAAGCCACAATTTGAACACCACCCGCCCTCAATCCGTGAAGCCCTTGCAATTTTTTATAGTGAATATGCGCGGCGCTAGGGCGAGAGCCACATTTTCAAAACGACCCGCCCTCAATCCGTGAAGCTCTTGCGATGTTTGAAACGAATGTGCGCGGCGCTAAGGCGAGAGCCACATTTTGAAAGCGGCCCGCCTTGAACGCGTACAACTTTTGCAAATGTTTAATGCGAATGTGCGCGGCGTTAAGGCGAGAGCCACATTTTGAAAGCGACCCGCCCTCAATCCGTAAAGCTCTTGCATTGTTTTAAAAGCGAATGTGCGCGGCGCTAAGGCGAGAGCCACATTTTGAAAACGACCCGCCCTGCATCTGTGCAATGGTGAGGAAGTCTCAAGCGAAACGCCCGGCCCGCACTAAACACTGGCCTCGGGGTGGGGGGTCGGCGCTTGTGAACGCGGCCACTGGGGCCTTGGGAGGAACTCCCTATGGAGCCACGAACCGTGTGAGGAGTGTGCCGAAATGGGCATGCGGTGGGCGGGGTGGACGCATATGAACGCGGCCGCTGGGGCCTTGAGTGGAGATCCCTATGGGGCCACGGGCCGTGTGAGGGGTGTGCCGAAATGGGCTTGCGGTGGCTGGGGTGGGCGCATGTGACCGTGGCCGCTGGGGCCTTGGAGGGAGCTCCCTATGAGGCCACGAACCGTGCGAGGGGTGTGCCGAAATGGGCATGCGGTGGGCGGGGTGAACGCATGTGAACGCGGCCACTGGGGCCTTTTGTGGAGCTCCCTATGGGGCCACGAGCCCTGTGAGGGGTGTGCCGATATGGGCATGCGGTGGGCGGGGTGGACGCATGTGAACGCGGCCACTGGGGCCTTCGGTGGAGCGCCCTAGAGGCCACGAGCCGTGTGACGGGTGTGCCGAAATGGGCATGCGGTCGGCGGGATGGGCGCATGTGAACGCGGCCACTGGGGCCTTGGGTGGAACTCCCTATGGGGCCACGGACCATGTGAGGGGTGTGCCGAAATGGGCATGCAGTTTGCGGGGTGGACGCAAGTGAACGCGGCCACTGGGGCCTTGGGTGGAGCTCCCGATGGGGCCACGAACCGTGTGACGGGTGTGCCGAAATGGGCATGCGGTGGGCGGGGTGGACGCATGTGAACGCGGCCGCTGGGCCCTTGAGTGGAGTTCCCTATGGGTTCACGGGCCGTGTGAGGGGTGTGCCGAAATGGGCATGCGGTGGGCGGGGGGCGCACGTGAACGCGGCCACTGGGGCCTTGGAATGAGCTCCCTATGGGGCCACGAACCGTGTGAGGGGTGTGCCGATATGGGCATGCGGCGGGCGGGGTGGACGCATGTGAACGCGGCCACTGGGGCCTTCGGTGGAGCTCCCTATGGGCCACGAGCCGTGTGAGGGGTGTGCCGAAATGGGCTTGCGGTGGGCGGGGTGGACGCATGTGAAGGCGGCCACTGGGGCCTTCGGTGGAGCGCCCTAATGGGCCACGAGCCGTGTGACGGGTGTGCCGACATGGGCATGCGGTGGGCGGGGTGGACGCATGTGAACGCGGCCACTGGGGCCCTGGGTGGAGCTCCCTATGGGGCCACAAACCGTGTGAGGGGTGTGCCGAAATGGGCATGCGGTGGGCGGGGTGGACGCATGTGAACGCGGCCATTGGGTGGCGCTCCCTGTGGGACCAAGAACCGGGTGACGGGTGTGCCGAAATGGGCATGCGGTCGGCGGGATGGGCGCATGTGAACGCGGCCACTGGGGCCTTGGGTGGCCCTAGAAAAGGGCGACAATGTCGCAGATCGCAGCCCCCCAGGGACGGCGAGGTCCCGCTCAGATCCCCGCGGTGCCTCACTCCGCAGGACCCGCCAGCAGCCCTCGAAAGTGGCGACAGTTCTTGAGATCGCAGCCCCCCAGGGATGGCCAGGTCCCGCGCAGATCCCCGCGGTGCCCCACTCCGCAGGGCCCACCAGCAGCCCTCGAAAGTGGCGACAGCGTCGCAGATCGCAGCCCCCCAAGACGGCGAGGTCCCTCTCAGATCCCCGCGGTGCCTCATTGCGCAGGACCCACCAGCAGCCCTCGAAAGTGGCGACAGCGTCGCAGATCGCAGCCCCCCAAGGACGGCGAGGTCTCGCTCAGATCCCCGCGGTGCCTCACTCCGCAGCACCCACCAGCAGCCCTCGAAAGGGCGACAGCGTCGCAGCATCGCAGCATCCCAGGGCACGGCGAGGTCCCGCTCAGATCCCCGCGGTGCCTCACTCCGCATCGAAAGTGGCGCACCCACCAGCAGCCCTCGAAAGTGGCCCCCCAGGGACGGCGAGGTCCCGCTCAGATCCCCGCGGTGCCTCACTCCGCAGGGCCCACCAGCAGCCCTCGAAAGTGGCGACAGCGTCGCAGATCGCAGCCCCCCAGGGATGGCCAGGTTCGCGCAAGGCAAGAGGAGACAAGAGGGGAGCGGGAGACGGGAGGCGAGAGGAGGAGGAGGAGGAGGAGGAGGAGGAGGAGGAGGAGGAGGAGGAGGAGGAGGAGGAAGAAGAGGAGGAGGAGGAGGAGGAGGAGGAGGAGGCGGGAGGAGGAGAACTGGAGAACGCAGTGCTCTACTCAAAACGAATACCCAACCAAGGAGTGTTGGGACAAATAATCGAGCAGTTCTCAAACATAGCCAAAAATAGTAGAAACATCGTCCGCAGACTATTTCTTTACTATTTTTGAAGTGCCCTCCTGTAGAGGGACGTGCCCGACGTAATGGTAAGACTTCGGGCTTCGCAGAGGCAGCTGTCCCTGCCTGCCCGTCCCCTTTCCCGCTCGTGTCCTCCAGCATGGCCATGTCTGCGTCGACCTCGGCGTCCTCCTTGTCCGAGGTCTTGGCCGCGGCGGTGGGCGTGGCGGGCCGGGGCGTCGTGGTGCGGGCCAGCCTGGGGCCGCTCTCCAGCAGCTTCATGTCTTCGTCCTCCTCGTCGTCGGCGCTGTCCTGCCTGGTGGCGGCCGCCGCCGGCGGCGGGGCCGCGGCGGGCGGCGCGGGGGCCCGGGGGGCAGGCGGAGCCGAGCGAGGCAGCTGCGGCGGCGGGTCTTCCAGGGAGTCGTCGCCCGACGAGGCCGCAGGGGCGGTCTGCGCCGCCAGCGCTACGGGCTCTGCTGGCGCTGCTGCTGCCGCGGGCGCTGCCGCTGCCGCGGGCGCTGCAGGCGCTGCCGGCGCTGCCAGCGCGGCTGGCGCAGCTGGAGCTGCCGGGGCGCTCTTCGCTGTGCGGGCGGCTGCGGCGGGCGCCTTTTTCGAGCTCTGGGGGGTGTCGTCGGTGTCGTCGTCGAAGTCGCCGAGCATCTCCTTCATGCTCTTCGCAGGGTCGGCCAGGCTGGCAGTGGAGGCTTTTGGTGTCCTGCTCTCGCCGTCGGGCGTCCAAGCGGTGTATGCCGTTGGCACCGAGCCTGCGGCGCTGCTGTAGACCCCGTCCATGAAGTCGCCGTCCTTGTTCTTTTGCTTGGTCTTCTTCGGCGCCGGCGGGCTGGCTTTCTGTGCCGCTGCACTGGCTGGCGCTGCTGGGGTCCTGGCGGGTGCAGCTGGCACTGCTGCAGCTGGTGGCCTCGCCAGTGCACGAGGTGCAGGTGTTGCGGCTGGTGGTGGTGGTGGTGGTGCGTCCATCGCCTGTGGAGCGACTGGCGCAGCGGGCGGCTGCGGCGGCGTCGGCGCCACAGTTGCCACTGGGGCTGTGTCAACTTGGGCTGCCACCGTTGCAGCCACTGCGGGCGCTGCCGCTGCCGGGACTGCCGCCGCCGGGGCTGTCGCCATTCGTGGGGGGGGCACAGGTGCTGCCGGCACTTGGGGAGGTGCAGCTTGGGCGGGCGCCCCAGGAGCTGCCGCCTCCGGGGCCGTCGCCGCCCCGGCGGTCGCAATCAGGGCAGGCGCCGCCGGTGGCGCTGCCGACGCTGTTGCCGCTGGCGTGGCCGCTGGCGGGGCCGCCTGCGCCGGCGGGCTGGGCTGCCGCGCGCGGCGTCGGCCGCGTCGTGCCGTCGGCGCCTGCCCGTGCGCCGCGGGCGCCGTGGGCGACGCAAGCGCCGGCGCAGCTGGCGCCACGGGCGAGGCGGGTGCCTCGCGTGCGGCAGGGGCCGCGGGCGCGGCAGGCGCCCTGGGCAGGGCGGGCGCCACGCGTGGAGCAGGGGCCGCGGGCGCAGCAGGCGCCACGGGCAGGGCGGGCGCCACGCGTGGGGCAGGGGCCGCGGGCGCGGCGCGGGCCGCGGGAGCGGCACGGGCCGCGGGCGTGGCAGGCGCGGGGAGCGCCGCGGGCGCGGCGAGGTGGCCTGCCCGAGGCTGCTGCGGCGCTGGCGCCTGGGTGGCGGCCGCCCGTGGCGGCGGCGGCGCCTCCTGTGGCGCGCGGGGGGCGGTTTTTCCGGGCTGGCCCTTCGCTCCGCCAGGGCCCTCCCAGCTCGGCAGGCCAGCATCGGGTCGCTGGCAGGTCCCCCCTCTGCGGGCGGATTCTGGACGCAAGATGAAACAGATTCAGAAGGTAGTCGGAAGAGTCGGGAAAAATTGAAAACCGTCCCCCGACTATTTTGTGGCTATTCTTGAATCTCCTCCTGTCAAGGAACGTGCCCGACTTGATGCCAACACCCAACGCCGACCTCCGAAGACTTGGTCTCGGAGACCCTGAGCCGCAGGTCGGTCGCAGGTGCGGCACGAGGGCTGGAGGCTGCAAACCCGAGAAAGCCACACACACACACACACACACACACACACACACACACACACACACACACACACACACACACACACACACACACACACACACACACACACACACACACACACACACACACACACACACACACACACACACACACACACACACACACACACACACACACACACCACACACACACACACACACACACACACACACACACACACACACACACACACACACACACACACACACACCACACACACGCACACACACGCACACACACACGCACACGACACACACACACACACACCACACACACACACACACACACACACACACACACACACACACACACACACCCACACACACACACACACACACACACACACACACACACACACACACACACACACACACACACACACACACACACACACACACACACACACACACACACACACGCATCCGTGGTTCGCGATCTCGCCTGGGCCCCTGGGCCAAGCCTCCGCGACGAGTCTCCGCCGTGGACAGGGTCCAAGCGTGGCGCTCTCTCGTCGATGATGGACAGGGGGCCTCTGGGTGGGGGACTTGCCCCTGCCCGAGAAAAGTAGCCCCCGAAGAGCCTTCTTGGAGGGGCGATCTGGCCAGGATTTCGAAGCGAATCTTGCCGCGGCGAAACGAGAGGGCCCACCAACAGCGACAACGTCCAAAGAATTCTCCTCCTCCTCCTCCTCCTCCTCCTCCTTCCTCCTCCTCCTCCCCCTCCTCCCCTTCCTCCTTTCCTCCTCCTCCTCCTCCTTCCTCCTCCTCCTTTCCTTCCTCCTTCCTCCTCCTCCTCTCCTCCTCCTCTCTCCTGCCTCCTCCTCCTCCTCCCCTTCCTCCTCCTCCTCCTCCTCCTCCTCCTCCTCCTCCTCCTCCTCCTGCTCCTCCTCCTCCTCCTTCTCCTCCTCCTCCTCCTCCTCCTCCTCCTCTCAACTCCTCCTCCTTCTCCATCCTCCTTCTTCTTGCTGCGGGTGCTACAAGGCCAACCACACGCAGCACAGCTGGAAGACTGAGGCGGCAGCGGCTGGGCCCTGGGCAGAAGGGAGAGTGGCGTGCGAGCCACACCGCTCCTCGGTCGCGGCGGAGCAAAGCCTAAGAGAATGCGAACCCCGAGTGTGGACGATAGCAAGCGAAAACCAGGGCAGGACATGACCCGTCCCTCATTCCACCTCCCTCCCCGCAAGCGCCGTGGAGGAAGCGGAGTCTGTTCAAAAAACCATCCTGTGCGGGGGTGGGCGGGCGGGTGCCCTTCGGCAGCACGCAGCGGGTCCTGTCCGCCCCAGGCCACTGTTGGGCTCTGGGGTCACCCCGTCCTACAGGGACGAGCGGGGAAGGCGAACGGCCGCGCGCTGCCTGGCCCACGGGCACGCGGGGGTGGTTCGGGGGCCCCAGGCGCACACGCAGTGTGCGACCACACGGGGGTCGAGTTGGGTTCCACTGCCTCCGGCCTGCCGAGCAGGAGGGCGGCCGGAGGTCCCGCGCGGTGCGTCGTGGTCTCAAGCGGGGAGGGCGCGAGATCGCGGGCGGGACTCCGCGGTGCAGCTTGCGCTCGCCTGCAATCAAAACTGCAGGGGCCCCAGGACACACAAATAAATACACACAAATAAGCAAAATCCATATATTTTCACATATTTTCTATGTTTTTGTCTTCCCCCCCCACTTCCCATATTTTCCCATATTTTCCTGGGGATCGACGATTCATTGTGTCTGTATGTTTTTTCCCCTCCTGAAAAACGTAGAATAAGGACGGATGGAAAGGACGCGAGGCCCTCGGAGGCCGGAGTCGGACGTTGTTTGGGCGGCGGGCGATCCAACTCCAGGCAGCGACACAAGGGTACTCCAGATTTCGTAAAAAAAAAAGGAGGGGGGTCTCATTTCGGGGGGGGGGGTCTCTTCCAGGCTATCTTGGAGGGCCTGGGGGGGTCTGGGGACGATGTTTTGGGGGGTTCTCCCACGGGGGAGGTCTGAAATGGCTCGTCTTGGAGGGTCCAGACCCCCTCCCTTCCATTACACGAAATCTGGAGTACTCTAGAAAAGGCGCGTGCGCGCGTTGACTGCATTTTTGTTTGCCTGCATGGGGTTGGTGAGGGCAGCGTGCGGCCGCTGTGCACTCCTTCCCTGCTCGTTTCTGGACCCCTCAGGGGCTCCTGCAGAGCGGTGCTGCTGGCGTTCCTCCCGAAGACGTGAGAGCTGAGTGCATCAGCAGAATTTCTTGCGGGCCCGCGCGGGTTTCTTGGATCGGCGGTGGGATGTACAACTGGGCAGCAGGGGCGGCTTTGAGACTGGAGCAGAATACCCAAAAGGTGCACCAGCAGAGTTTCTCGCAGGCCCGCGCGGATTCCATGGATCGGCGCTGGAGCCCCCGCCGCTGGCGCGCGGACGCGCCAGGGGCGGCGCCGCAGGCACCGCCATGGAGACCCAGCGCCGATCCGAGAGATCTGCGCGGAGCTCCGAGAAACTATACATGTTTGTGCTTGGCTGCCCTGCGGGGGCTGCCCCTGGAAGGACCCCAGCGGGAGCCCTGGGGAGCAACGTGTAGATTTATGTTGCTCCACGCGCACTTGAGGACCGCATCCCCAAAACAATTCCGAGCACCCAGAAAAGTGTCGAAACAGTGTCGAACGAGTATCGCCTTCCAGGGCCCGGCGCATGAAAACCCGCCAGTTTCGGTACTTTCTGGGTGCTCGAAGCTCTGGTGATCGAGGCTAAAGTAGGTAGGCTGGAACATCACAAGTGTAGATGCTTGCGCGATTCTCCCAGGCACCCCGATGTACAGCGAAAGGCTTCCTGTCGGTCGTGGCCCCTCCGCTCCATCGCCCCCTTCCGCCGCAGGACAAACCGCCTCCTCCTCCTCCTCCTCCTCCTCCTCCTCCTCCTCCTCCTCCTCCTCCTCCTCCTCCTCCTCCTCCTCCCAGGTGGCGCTCCGAATGGGCCGACCTGAGGGCCATTCTCCCTGGGCCGTGGAGGAATGCCTGACGATTTGCGGATATGTTGCGCTTCTGACGCTGAGGGCGTGACCACCTTTGGCCCCCCCCCCCCTGCCCTGCGGCTTTCAAGGCGCCAGAGGACGTCTGGCGAGGGCGCCCGACGACGCCGACGATCACACGACGACGACGACGACGACGACGACGACGACGACGACGACGACGACGACGACGACGACGACGACGACGACGACGACGACGACGAAACGACGACGACGACGTCGGCCGCCGCGGCGCGATCGCTACGCCTCCGGCGGCGGAGGCGGCGGCGCAGGCAGCCGCGTCAGCGCCGCGGCCAGCGAGGGGGCCGCCGCGGCGCCGCCCTCCGGCGCGCCCGGGGCGGCGGCCGCGTCGCTGGCAGGGGGGGAGGCGGTCGAGGGGGGCCGCAAGGGTGACAGGATAAGACGAGGCCGGGGCGAGGAGAACTGCAGGGGCCCCAGGACACACAAATACATACACACAAATAAAATGATCCCCCATATTTTCCAATATTTTCTGGGTTGTTGTCTTCCCCCCCACTTCCCATATTTTTGCATATTTTCCTGGGAGTCGACGATTAATTGTGTCTGTGTGTTTCTTTCCCTCCTGAACGAAGCCGGGACGAGGATAACATCGGGGAGGAGAGATCGAGAAGCTCTGAGATCCGGCGGTCGTGGAGGATCCGCCGACCCTGTCGGCGTGTGTGGGGGTCTGTCCGGTCCCGTCGACGGGGAGCCTTCTTTCGTCCCCTCCCTCCCATCCTCCTCTCCCGTCGAGGGAGAGAGAGAGAGAGAGATATAGATATATATATATATAGAGAGAGAGAGAGAGAGTATCCTTCCTCGTTCGGGGAAAGGATTGGCAGCCTGAGGGAATTCCATCCACGTCCACATCACGTCAAAGGGAAGCCCCTTCCCTTTGTCCCTTCCCCGGCGGGGGGGGTCCCTGGAGGGGGGGGTCAGATTCGCCTCCTCCTCCTCCTCCTTCTCCTCCTCCTCCTGTCGCACCCCGAAACACATTTTTAGGGCGGGCTGGGCGTTTCGCCTGAGACTTCTTCACCATTTATGACTCTGAAACTTAAAAGGTGGCAACAGCTTCACACATGGAGGGAGGGTCGTTTTCAAAATTTGGGCTCTCGCCTTAGCGCCGCGCACAATCGTTTTAAACATGTGCAAGAGCTTCACGGATTGAGGGCGGGTGGTTTTCAACATGTGGCTTTCGCCTTAGCGCCGGGCATATTCGTTTTCAAAGTTCGCAAGAGCTTCACACATTGAGGGTGGATGGTTTTCAAAATGAGGCTCTCGCCTTAGCGCCGCGCACATTCGTCTTAAACATGCGCAAGGGCTTCACGGATTAAGGGCGGGTGGTTTTCAGAATGTGGCTCTCGCCTCAGCGCCGCGCACATTCGTTCTCAAACTTTGCAAAAGCTTCACGGATTGAAAGCATGTGGTTTTCAAACTGTGGCTCTCGCCTCAGCGCCGCACACATTCGTCTCAAAAGTTTGCAAGGGTTTCACATCTTGAAAGCGGGTGGTTTTCAACATGTGGCTCTCGCCTCAGCGCCGCGCCCGTTCGTTTTCAAAATGTGCAAGGAGTTTCGCGCATTGAAAGCGGTTTCTGTTCAGAATGTGGTTCTCGCCTCAGCGCCGCGCACATTCGTATTAAACATTTGCAAGAGATTCACGGATTCCCATGATCACCGTGCCAGGAATTGTGTTTTGGAAGGATTCAGGATTATGCGGGCGCAACAGTTATGTTGATCCGCTGTGTTGGAATTCCAAAATGGCGTTCTGGCACGATTATGGATCGTCAAGACGCAGCAGTCAGGTTGATACGTGGCGTTGGTATCCCGAGAACAATGTTTTTGAACGCTTCAGGATCTTCAAACTCTTGTCTTCCAACGAGGCAGTTCCCTCAATGGAAACGAATCGTTGCAGGGGCCTGTGAAGAGGGAGCTTGGAGGGAGAGTTAATTCCAACATCGTTGATGAATCTGGGGTTTCCAACTGGTCCTCCTCCTCCTCCTCCCTTACTCCTCCTCCTCCTCCTCCTCCTCCTCCTCCTCCTCCCTCTGTGTCTGCACCTGTTCCGCCTCACTGTGTCGTCTTCCCCCTCCTCCCGATGCGCCTTCCCCATCCTCTTCTTCGCCGAGGTCAACGCCGTCGTCTCCAGGGTCGGCGGCACCGGCCGCAAGGCCTTCCCGATCGAGCATCTCTGCGATCCGGCGGTCGTGAGGGAATCTGGAACGCCATGAGAGCGTTCTGGAACGCGCTGGAGCAGATCTATCCTCGTCCCAGCCCCATCCGAAGGGCCCGTGGGGGACAGAAGCAGATACCGCGAGCCCGTGCTATAACGGTGCGCGGTGAGGACGAGAGAGGTCCTCAGACGGCCGTGCCGACCTCTCTTGCGAGCGGGGCGCGGCCAGCGAGGGCGGCCGAGGGGCGGGCCGGAGGGGCAGGATGCAGGGGGAGGCGCTTGCTCTGCGGGCTGACTGTGCCCAGCCCCTCCCAGACGCCGCTTGGCCACGAGGCCCGCCTGGGGGGCTAACAAACAACAGAGGGAAGCACGTCGAAGCCCTCTTCCTCGGCAGCTTTCGGAGGCCTGCCCCGACGAGTCGGGGGTAGCTGGCGTCAGAGGACCGCGCCAGGTCGGCGATGCAAAAGACGACGGCGCGATGAAGAAGCAGAAGAAGACGAAGAAAAAGCGATAGTTCGACCCCGTCTGCTCGAGCATTCGAGAAGCCTGGACAATTACAGTCGGACCTAGGCTGGAAGAACATCCCGCAAGAACATGAGACCCCGCGTCGGCCCAAACACCCAGAACAGTAAAAAGGTGCCCTCCCCAGGAGGCACAAGAACACGCAACAAGCACGAAGAGCATGAGGGCACCCTCCCCGAACCGACCTCGATCTCATGCCTCGGTCCGGCGACAATATTCTCCCTGTGGTTGGTCTTCGGGTTAGGTTGGGCATGTCCTCCTACAGGCGGATTGCGAACGGAAAATAAAAAATATTCATACATATTCAAGCATTGTAAACAATAATCCAAACATCGTCCCCAGAGTATGTTTGACTATTCCTGGATATTCCTCCTGTAGAGTTCGGTCGGGCGTGTCCCCCTACAGGCGGACTGCGGAAGAAACATGAATACAACAGCCAAACCATATTCAAAAGCAGTCACAGAGAATCGAAAAGTCGTCCCCCAGTTTGAACATTCCTCCTGTATAGTTAGGTCGGGCGTGTCCCCCTACAAGCGGATCTGGGGCGAAAAAGAAAATTCAAAACTAGTCGAACAAAAATCGGAAGTTGTAGAATAATCGTCCCCTTACTCAATTTTTCACTATTTTTGCATTTTCCTCCTATAGAGGCGCAGACCTGACATACGGCTCCAGAAGTCTTTGGTTTGAGGAACGGAATGAGGAGGAGGACAGAAGTCTTTGGTTTGAGGAACGGAATGAGGAGGAGGAGGAGGAGGAGGAGGAGGGGGAGGAGGAGGACAGGGGGAGGAGGAGGAGTAGGAGGAGGAGGGAGCAGGAGGGGGAGGAGAGGAGGAGGGGGGGTGGGGGGGGGGCAGTAGGGGGGGGGGGAGGAGTGGGGGGGGGGGGGGTGAGTGGGGGGGGGAGAAGGGAGGGAGGAGAAGGAGGAAGGAGGAAGATGAGGAGGAGATGGAGAGTAGGGAGGGGAGAGGAGGGAGGAGAGGAGGAGGGGAGAGAAGGGAGAGGAGAGGGAGGAGAGGAGCGGGAAAAGGAGTGAGGATAAGGGAGGAGGGAGGAGGAGGAGGAGGATGAGGATGGAGGAGATGAGGAGGAGGAGGAGGATTGGATGAGGGGGAGGAGGATGAGGGAGGATGATGAGAGAGGAGGAGGAGGAGGAGGAGGAGGAGGAGGAAGCCCGAGGCATGTGAATCATGGGCCTTTTTATTGTTTTTTCGGCGCGGGGACGAAGCGCCGCCGCCGCTGGGAAGCACCCCCGGAGGACCCGAGAAGCGCTGAGAATCGCCACCAACAACTTGTGTTAGGTAGGGCGTGTCCCCCTAGATGCGGACATTTGATGAGAAATAATAAATACGCAAGAAATGCTCGAACAGAAATCGGAAGTTGTAGAAGAATCGTCCCCTGACTCAATTTTTGACTATTTTTGAATATTCCTCCTGTAGAGGGACAGGCCCGACTTGAAACTAGTGAGCGTTTTCTTATTCGGCGTTTCGACATTGGGCGGAACGAAACACTTGCACGTCAATGCTGCTGGGTGCGGTCTGACATTTCGCACCCCCGCTCATGCTTGAAGCACCGAAGTGGCAAGCACAGAATTGACGACCTCGTCACGCATGGACGTTCTGGCTGCTAAATCCAATGCGGTGTGGCCCCGCGAATTTTCAGCCGTGGCATCCGCTCTAGCAATTAGCAGAAAATAATATACATCTCTGTTGCCGCTGAAGGGCGGGGGGAGAGGGGGGGGGTCTGGCTCAGGACCTCTGCTTAGCGCGACTGTTTGCAACAGTGCGTCCCATGGGGGAGACTCCACCCGCTCGAAACAGGCATCAAAAAACAGCCAAGATCTACTCCCTTGGGGGGGGGAGTGGGCGGGCGAGGGCCCGCGCCGATCTGCAAAACAATGAATAAAAAAGACGATCGCTTGATGCTCGATGTTCTGATCGCTGTTCTCTTTACGGCAGGTTCGCGTCGTGTCGACCCCGGCGTTGGTGCCTGACACCGCGGGGATCCTTGAGACTTGAACGATCGGCCCTTTCGAAAGGGCCGGATCGTTCAAGGATGGGCCGATTCTGGGCCATGGACGGCGTTCAGCATGAAACACACGCGCTGGGGCCGCCGCCGGTCGACACGACGGGAACCTGCCGTACCCTCCTGGGAGCTTCTCGTCGCCACGATTGGATTCCACTCGGGGCACGTGTCGAGACGCGCCCCTGGAAGAGGTCCGCGGGGTCGATTGTTGAGGGGGAGGGCGCTCGTCCTCATTCCGAATGGCCCATACCCCCGACGTCCTGATACTTCCTGAACGCCTAGAACCCCTAAAGTATCGACCCCTCTCGGGGGACCAGTTTTTCATCCCAGGCTGTTTTTCGGATTGCCCCAGGCACCCTCAAGGGCCCCTGGAGGCCGAGGACTGTCGAGCGCCTCCAGTTGTGATCTCTTCATGGCGAGGCCTGGGCCTGGGCATCCCGTCGTCCCTCCGAGGCTCGTCCAGGGGTGCGCTTTGACCCACGCTGAGCGGGGAATCCCTTTGTGGCGGCGAGGCCGCTCCGAGAGGCCCGACAAGGGCGAAACGCTGATTCCTCGAGGAGGGGGGAGGCGCGAGGAGCGAGGAGGCGCAAGGAGGGAGCAGGCGCGAGGAGGGAGGAGGCGCGAGGAGGGAGGAGGCGCGAGGAGGGAGGCGGCGCGAGGAGGGAGGAGGCGCGAGGAGGGAGGCGGCGCGAGGAGGGAGGTGGGGGGGCCACGTGCTCGAGGCGCCCCAGCGCGCCTGGGCGTCGACGTCCCCGACGCGAGCCCCGCGAGCGCCCCCCGCAGCGCCGGCACCGCCGTGCCCTGGATCCTCCGACGACGAGGAGGACGACGACGAGGACGACGACGAGGACGACGACGAGGACGACGACGAGGACGACGACGAGGACGACGACGACGAAACGGCAGCGCAGACTACCACGACAGCGGCGGCGGCGGCGGCGGCGGCGGCGACGACGACCACGGAGGCGGCCGCGGCGATGATGCGGCGACGAAGACGACGAAGACGGAGGCGCTGGCGATGACGGCGGCGATGGCGGCGGCACAGCCCCCGCTGCTGCTGCCGTCGTCGTCGGTCGTCCGCCGCCGTCGGCCGTCGCCGAGCGTCGAAGCCCGATGCCTCAGAGCGTTTCTGGCCCCCCTTTGGCCCTCCGAGGGCCCACCGGGACTGCAGGGGAGCTTCACTGGCCATCGCTCGGACGTCCATTCCCTGTGCCTTTTTCGGTTTCGTGCGTGGCTTGTTCGCCAAACGATCCAGGATGCTCCTCGATGGGCTTCGCCGAAGGAACAGTGCACACGTCCGAGCGATGCCAAGTTCAGTGACCCCCAGAGGCCTCAGGGTGCCGCCGTGCCGCCGTCGTGGTGGAGGCCGTCGGCGTCGTCGTTCTCGGCGAGGCCCCGGGGTCGACGATCTGCTCATCTGGAGCCTGGCTGGGATGCGATCTGGCCAGCATTTCGAGGCGGACTCGGCCGTGGCGATGAGGAGTTCCAAAATTCAACCTGGAAGTTCGAAGTTTACGTCGTCGTCGTCGTCGTCGTCGTCGTCGTCGTCGTCGTCGTCGTCGTCGTCGTCGTCGTCGTTATCGTGGTCGTCGTCGTCGCCGCTGCGGCCGTCGCCTCCGTCGCCGTCGCCGTCGCCGTCGCCGTCGCCGTCGTTGCCGCCGCGGCCGCCGCCTCCGTCGCCGTCGCCGTCGCCGTCGCCGTCGCCGTCGTCGTCATCGTCGTCGCCGTCGCCGTCGTCTCCATGGTCCTCTGGTAGACGACCCGCTCCACGTCGCAGACGCTCTGCACGTCGGCGAGGTACCTCGACACGACACCCTGAGGCTCTCCCCCTCACGAGCGACGAACAGACGGCAAGCGCGTGGCGTGACGACCAGCCCGGTGGTTTCTGACACCGCGTGGACCGCTCAACCTGGAGCGATCGGTGGCTCTTCGATCGCCTGATCGTTCGAGATCGGCGGCGAGGAGAAGAGGAGAACGAGGAGAGGGAGACGGACGTCGAGAAGAAAGAAGAGGAGAACGAGGAGAGAGGAGAGAGGAGAAGAGGAGAGGGAGAACGAGGAGAGGGAGAACGAGAATCTGAGCGTCTCCCTCCCTCTTCTCCTCCTCGATCTCCTCTTGGCCCCTGACGGCGCTGAACTTTGAACGCCCGCAGCAAGGCCGCTGCCGCGTCGGCACGACACGAACCCGCCGTGTCCACATCCATGCCCTCTCGCGGTCCCGGCACCGGGGGGCGGCCCCTATGGGCGCGGGCTGCCATACGCTCCGCGCGAGGAGCCCCGAGATCTGTGGGGGGCTCAGAAGCACACACCACCACCACCTCCCTCGTCCCCTCCCGCTCCCAGGAAAGAGGGGAGGACGAGGAGGGCAGAGGAGGGAGGAGGAATCGACGTGATGGTGGTGTGTGTTCTCGGGGCCCCCAATCTGGGCTTTCTGCATTTTTCCCATAACAAGCGACTTTGGACTGTCTCAGTCCCCGGGACCGTCACAGATCGATCTCTCGGAACATGCAGCAGAAAGGGCGGGTCTAGGGCTCCAGTCGTGATGTTTCGCGATGCTATATCTTGTGTGCAACGTCGGGCCCCGAGAATGGGCACGCAATCCCATGCGTTCCGCACTAGGAATCCGCGCACAGCTGCCCTGTAAGTATCCATGCGGGGTGCGGCGAGGAGTCCGGGCCGCGAGGCATGCTTCCCGCACGCGGCCTGTGGCGCGCAACAGTCGAGACGGATGTCTGCTCTGCTACGATTTCGCCTCGGACAGCACGTCTCCGGTCCAAAAAACATCCAGCCATGTACCTGGGCGAGAAAGAGGTCCCGGCGAACGGAAAGAGGTCCCGGGGAACGGGTCGAGCGACCTGGGGGCCTACGCCACGAACTGCACTGGGCGTCGGATGCTTGGGTCCGGACGTCGGCGAGACACCTCAGCGTCAGCCAACCACCCGACAGGTTGTCAAAGGATTCTCAGGAAACCAAGGGAGCCCAGAATCGAATCGATAAGTCGGATCAGAAATCCAAATGAATCGGAGCGGCGGATATCAGCAGTCAAGTCGGGTGGAGTCGAATATGTGGGAATCGGCAGGCTAGTAATGCCTGTATCTGGAAACCGAAGTCCAGATCGGAACCCGAAGTCGAATGGAATCGGAGTCGGCACCGATCGGAATCGAATCGACTCGAATCGGAGGCGTCGAAGTGAACCCTGGAAATCCCTCGGAGCTTACTCGAAGTCCTCAAAGATCTGGAGCCGTCCAGGAACAGAAACTCGCCTGGAGGCTTCCGCAGAAACGGGTGGACTACAGCATCGTGCTACCAGACGGAGCGCGTAATGAGGGACGGCGAGGCTGTTCCTGGCGACGGCGGGCCTGGGCCAGAAGCAGGCTCCAGTACAGAAGTCGAAGGAACGGCCCGACAACCCGAGCCCCACCCTGAAGCCCAGGGCGGTCCTTGTTTCAGCGTCTTGGCTGCCATGTCCCACGGTCGGTCTTGTGTGTACCAGGGTGCCGCCCTGCACCGTGAGAGGGGGGGAGGGGGTCGGGGGGAGGGGGAGGGGGAGGGGGAGGGTGGCGAGGGGGAGGGGGAGGGGGAGGGAGGAGGAGGAGGAGGGGGGGGAGGAGGAGGAGGGGGGGGAGGATGAGGAGGAGGAGGAGGAGGAGGAGGAGGAGGAGGAGGAGGAGGAGGAGGAGGAGGAGGAGGAGGAGGAGGAGGAGGAGGAGGAGGAGGAGGAGGAGAGGAGGAGGAGGAGGAGGAGGAGGAGGAGGAGGAGGAAGAGGAGGGAGGAGGAGGAGGAGGAGGAGAGGAGGAGGAGGAAGGAGGAGGAGAGAGGAGGAGGAGGGGAGCAGGAGCAGTAGGGGGAAAAGGAGGAGGCCGGAGGAGGAGGAGGACGAGGAGGAGGAGGAGAAGAAGAAGGAGCAGGAGAGGAGGAGGAGGAGAGGGAGGAGGAGGAGGAGGAGGAATTGGAGAGGAGGGGATGGGGAGGCGGAGGAGGAGGAGCAGGTAGGGGGAGGGGGAGGCGGAGGAAGCGGGAGGAGGAGGAGGAGCAGGAGGAGGATGCCAGGAGGAGAAAACAGGGGGGGAAAGCAGGAGGAGGAGGAGGAGGAGGAGGAGGAGGAGGAGGAGGAGGAGGAGGAGGAGGAGGAGAGGAGGAGCAGGAGGAGGAGGAGGAGGAGCAGGAGGAGGAGGAGGAGGAGAAAGAGGAGGAGAACGAGGAGGACTGTGAGAGAGACAAACGGCGGGAGTCTCCCGCACCCGCCACCAGCGGCCCCAGACCCGCCGCGGATGGCCCCGGCCCTAGGCATCCGCCATCATGAACAGCCTGCTCGGGAGCTCCGCCCCAGAGCTCCGCGTGAGGGGCAGCGACAGGGGGGAGCTGGCGCAGGGGGGGATGCACCGACCTGGAATCGGCGGTGCATCGTCGACAGACCGGCGACAGGCCCCAGAGAGCAGAACCGCACCTTCCTCGGCGGGTGGGGGCTATCGGGCCCCTACATCGGCGACGGATGGGCGATTGGGGGTCGAGGCATCCCCCCGCCCCCTTATGCCTACCCTCCCCTCTCTATCGGTGCTCCAGACCGCAGGCGCCCCAGACCTCCACCCCTTTCCCCAGCGGCAGGGTCACGCCCCTCTTTCCACACTTGGACGGCTCCACGACCCCGCAGAGCTGCCCCCTGGACGCCACAACAACCAACAACCAACAGCGCATGACGGGAGGGGCCCGGGGTCGTGGTGTCTGAGGCTAGGGGTCGTGACGTCGTTTCTCTCGGCGCGACATATTTGCGGGCAAAGGTTCTATCCATCTCCAGTGCGTCTTGGATTTTCTGAAAGGGGTGCCGCAAGGCCGAGGCGCACTGGATATGGATAAACATCGAGCCTGTAGGGACTGGATGTCTACCCATATCCAGTGCGCCTCGGGCTTCTGGAGAAGGAAGCCCGAAGCTCCAAGCTGCAGTGGATATGGACGCAAGTCTTGCCCGCAATACGTCGCCGCGCCGTGTGTTCTTGACGCGCCCTGCTGGACGACGCCGACACCACGGCACGCCCACGGCAAGCCCTCGTCATCGCTCGGACGTCCACTCCCTGCGTTTTTTGTCGGTTTCGTGCGAGGCTCTTTCGCCATTTGATCAAGGATGCTCCTCGATGGTCCTCGCCGAAGGAAACACGCACACGCCCGAGCGATGCCAAGAGCCCTGCGCCCCGCGCCCAGGCAGACGACGACGATGCCCCGAGCCCGCCGCACCCGAGGCGGTGCTTGCCCCCTCGGGGGCCCACGGCGCCCTCCGCAGGGCGCAGGGCCGCGCGCCGGAGCGAAGCCAGAAGCTGGGGTCTATGCGGCTGCCGTCGTGAGCTCTCGCGCTGCGCGCTGCGAGACATTACGGCTGGAGCCCTACGGTCGGACTTGCTTGGAAGGGGCACGCGCGAGGACACGAGACCCTTCCGAGGGCCGCGCTGCCACAGACCTGCAGGAGGCATGGGCCGCGAGACACAAGACACAAGGGTACCCTTGATTTGGCAGGGTCGACCTACTAATCCAGACCGGCTGCATAGGCCCCCATCTTCCTGCGGTACTTGTCGAGCCGCCTCGGTCTGTGAGGGCCCCGGGGGGCCTGGAGCTGAAAGCCAAACCGCTGGCCTCGCGAACAAAACCCAGAGCCCCGACGTCATGATTTGTTCATGACACGGCGGATTCTGGAAACCCTGAACCTAAAAATGTTGTCATCTCTTGGGGGCGCATCGTCTACTTCCGCAACCTTCCGCTGCCCTTCCGCCGGCCTTCCGCCGGCGGAGGCGGCCTCGTCTTACTTCCACCGGCCTTCCGCCGCCCTTCCGCGGCCTTCAGCCGAGGAAGAACTGCAACTCCTTCGAGCCTCGAAGGCAAGGCTCTCTTTAGAACGCCCCATATAGTGTCACGCCGCATGCCAGGGTACGCAGACTCGTCCTCGATGGCGTTCGTGAGGATAGCGAGGCTCCTCTGCGTGGTGTAGAAGAGGTGCTGCACCTCCTCGATCCTCCGGGCGTCTGCGGCGTGTGAGGGAGGGTGCTGGGCAAGGAGAGGTGGGGAAGGGGGAGGAGGAGGGAGGAGGAAGAGGAAGGGGAGACGGAGATCGGGTGGAGGGAGGAGGAGGCATGAGGGAGAGGGGGGGCAAGGAGGCTGGGAGGGAGAATGGGGAGGTGGGAGGTGCAGAGGACACAGGAGGACGAGGGAGGGAGGGAGGGAGGAGGAGGGAGGGAGAGAGGGGGGAAGTCTGTCCAGGGAGAAGCACGGAAGTCAGGACCACGGCGCTGCAAAGAGGCACCCACCCCATCCTGCGCACACCACAGTGCACCCGCCCAAGAAAACGCAGGCACCCTCAGAAGGGGAAACCGGAGGAAAAAGAGAGGGCAGGAGGGAGGAAGGAGAGGGAGGAAGAAAAGGGGGGAAGGGAAGAGGAGGAGGGGAGGAGTGAGGAGGAGGAGGAGGAGGAGGGAGGAGGAGGAGGAGGAGGAGGAGGGGAGGAGGAGGAGGAGGAAGGGGGGAGGGGTGAGGGAGGAGGAGGAGGAGGAGAAGGAGGAGGAGGAGGAGGAGGAGATGAGGGGAGGAGGAGAGGAGGAGGAGGAGGAGGAGGAGGAGGAGGAGGAGGAGGAGGCAGGAGGGAGGAGGAGGAGGAGGAGGAGGAGAAGGAGGAGGAAGCTAGGAGGGGGAGGAGGAGGAGGAGGAGGAGGAGGAGGAGGAGGAGGAGGAGGAGGAGGGGAGGAGGAGGAGGAGGAGGAGGAGGAGGAGGAGGAGGGAGGCGGGCGGGAAGGGAGAAATGAGGGAGGACAATGGAGGAGGAGCAGGAGCAGGAGCAGGAGGAGCAGGAGGAGCAGGAGCAGGAGCAGGAGAAGGAGGGAGGGGGCAGGAAGAGGAGGAGGAGGAAGAATGGAGGGGGGGAGGGGGGAAGGGAATGGAGAAAAAGGGAGGACAGGAGGAAGGAAGGGGAGGGGGCTTGAGGGAGGCAGGGGTGGAGCAGGAGCAGGAGGAGGAGCAGGAGGAGAGGGAGGAGGAGGAGGAGGGGGAGGAGGAGGAGTAGGAGGAGGAACCAGGAGGAGAGCCACACCCACGGCTCTGCACCCCTCGGCGCGGACCAGCATGTCCCCGAGATGCGCGCGGTGGCGGCCGGAACTGCACAGAGCGACGGCGACGCGGACGACGGCGGCAACGACGGCGACGGCACAGAACGACGACGGCATCCGAAGTCTTCGGACGCCTCCGCGGCGCGGAGGTCCCCTGTCGCCCCAGCCCTCCAAAAACGACTTGGGGATCGACTGCAGGGCTGATTGACCCCAAGATTGCTGCTGCCCGTCGGGTCTACGAAAGTGCGCCGGCTTTGCGGAACAGTCTGCGCATGCTTCGCAGACTCGGCGGAGGAATCAAGTGTGGGGTGAATCAATTCCGTTGTCGATCCCCGACTCGGAAGAGGCAAGGAAGGCGCCCGGAGGCCCCCAGGGGGTCCAACCAGGGTCAGGAGCATCCCCGATGCCCTCGACCTCCGGCCCTCGACGGCTCCCTGCGTGGCCGCTGGGAGGTCCGTCCGCCTAAGCTCACTGGCCACGGCGAGGCCGCCACCGCGAAGGGACTGGGGGGGGGGGCGTGGGGGGGGGGGGGGGGGCTGGTTGCTGAGGTTGCGGACGGGAGGTGGAGGCGCACCCTAAAGAAAGAGACAGAAGAAGCAACTTCAGCAATACACAGCAGGCAGAAGCAGACGCAAGAAGCCCGACTGCGCCGACTCTTTCCTCATTTATTCATCTCTCGCCGATGTTAGTCGCCGCCCTCCCTCATACCTGTTCCTGAAGTCCTAGAGACCGACCTCCTCTTCATCCGCTTCTACTCCTCCTTCCTCACAGCCCAGCTCTTCCGTCCTTATTCATCATCCTCCTCCTCCTCCGTCTCCATCACTTCTCCTCCTCCTCTCCTCCTCCTCCTCCTCTATCCTCCTCCTCTATCCTCCTCCTTCCTCCTCCTTCTGTCCTCCCCTCCTCCTCCGCCTCTCCTCCTCCTCCTCCTTCTCATCTCTCCGCCTGTTTCCCTCCTCCCTCCTTCCTCCTACTGCTCCTCCTCATTCTCCTCTCCTCCTCAATTCCTTCTCATCCCTCTCTTCTCTTCTCCTCCTCATCCTCCTCCTCCTCCTCCTCCTTGTCATCCTCTCTGCTCATTTCTCCTGCTATACCGCCTGCCTCTCTACTCCCTCCTCTCCGCATCCTCATCCTCCTCCTCCTCCTCCTCCTCCTCCTCCTCCTCCTCCTCCTCCTCCTCCTCCTCCTCCTCCTCCTCCTCCTCCTCCTCCTCTATCCTCCTCTCCCGCCAAATCTTGCCCTCGACCCTCGAGGATCGAGGAGTGAACGTTCTTGATCTGGTTTGAACGTGTCTCCCAGTGAACGTTCTTGATCTGGAGTGAACGTTCTTGATCTGGAGTGAACCTCCTCCTCATCTCTCCTCCTATTCCTCCTCCTCCTCCTCCTCCTCCTCCTCCTCCTCCTCCTCCTCCTTCTCCTCTCTCCTCCTATTCCTCATCTCCTCCTCCTCTTCTCCTCTCCTACTCATATTCCTCTCCTCATCTCCTCCTCTTCTCTTCCTCCTCCTCATCCTCCTCCTCCTCCCTGCTCCTCCTCCTCATGCTGACCCTTCTTCTCCTCAATCCGCCTCCGCCGCTCTCTTCCTCCTCCTCCTCCTCCTCCTCCTCCTCCTCCTCCTCCTCCTCCTCCTCCTCCTCCTCCTCCTCCTCCTCTATCCTCCTCTCCCGCCAAATCTTGCCCTCGACCCTCGAGGATCGAGGAGTGAACGTTCTTGATCTGGTTTGAACGTGTCTGGCCCTTCCTGGGTCTCTGGAAGCCTCCAGGGGAAGCTGGTAAGCTGTAGTTCCGCCGCAGATCCTGGCCCAGGCGGCCCTCGTAGAGTTCGGCGGGGTCGCCAGAGCGCCGAATCTCAGAAGTCGTAGTACCCGATTGCATCAGGATTCGGCATCTGCATACTTGAATACATTGAAACATTCCTTTCCATCAATGTGATAATCGAACGTTCTGCAAATGAGGGGCCATTTGCCTCACATGCGTTTGCACGATACAGCCCATCGCCTCAGCCATAGTTTGTGCAATGTGTACACCAATTCCAAAAGCTCGTCGGTCTTGCTCAACGGGTCTCCGGTCCCACTGTGAAACTTGCTGCGCACTCTACGCCAAAGACAATTTCAGCATGGATGGAGGGCGAAGGAACTTCACAGCTGTCAGCTAAACTCCGCACGCAGACGCTTTCGAAGCTTCGAACAATTACCCGAATCGAGGTCAGGCGGTTATTGAAATGCCCTCTCGCCTAAGCGCCGCCGACATTCGTCTTCAAAGTTCCTTCTGATTATCCGGATGAAGGGTGGTCTTTATCATGTGTGTATGTGTCGCTTTAGTGTTCAGGACTGAGCAAATGTGTGTTGTGTCTGCCAGCGAGAACCCCGAACAGTGAGTGTGTGCACTGTGGATGTGCGAACTACATGGTGGAAGCAATATGGTGAACGTTATGCGGGGGGAGCTACGTGGTGCAAAGCCATGTGGTGCAAGCCATGCGAGGAAAGCTATGTGGTATACGCTGTGTGCTGTAGGCTACTGTGTGGTGCACGCTGTGGTTGACACTACGTGGTGTAAGGTGCAGGTTGTCCGGTGCAGGATACGTGGCGAAAGCTATGTAGTGTAAGGCACGTGCTGCAACGGCACGGGCCAGCGACGATGCGGCGACGGGCGGCAACGAGGCGGCCACGGGGCGGCCTTGAAACAGGCACGAGGCGCCCGTGGGGCGGCGACGAGTTCGCGACGGGCGAGAGGCCATGCGCAAAAGCAACAAACGCAGAAAGTGAGCACGAAACGAATGGTTGGGGAACAGCCTTGTGGCTGGCGTCTCTCGTACCGAGCCGTTTCGTCGACGGCCCAGGGCCCGGCGAGAGCCTTCACAGGCCGAAGCCGCACGGAAGCCACTGCTAACCTGGCTTGCACGTTGAAAGCCCTTGGCCCCGTTCCGCAACCGCCCTCCCGCGAATGCCGCCCAACACCAGCAGCGGCCCCTGCTGGGCAGGCGCAGTTCTGTCTCAAACGGACCCCGTCGTGGAAAACGGACGAGGCCTGCTGCCCGCCGTCGCCATCACGGTCCCCGCGAAGACTCCGATCGGGCCGACGACGAGGGGGGAGGGGCGCTGGCATCCTGGCCGTCTTGCCGCGGTACTCGCCCTCGAGGCGCGAGACCTCGCGCGCCGACGCGCCGCCAGAGGCCGATGTCTGCAGCAGCTGCGCCTGCTTCGCGTGCCTCCTCTCGCTGCCCTCGGCCTCGGCCTCGGGGCGGAACGCGCGCGCGGGCGACCCGCAGACGCCGCTGTTGCCGCCGCCACCATCGCTGCCGCCGCCGCCGCCGCCGCTGTCGCAGCCGCCGCCGTCGGCTGCGCCGCTGCCGCCGGCGAAGCCACCTCCAGCTGCTTCAGCACCTTCACGGGGCCGGCATTCGCGGGGCTCCGTTCCTTCCAGGGCAAAGCGAAGTGAGGCCGACAGCTCAAGATCGGTCCCTGGACCCCTCCCGGGGCCCAAATGCACAAGTTGTCCGAGCTGCGTCCAGCCGTCGCAACGGGGCTCGAGGGGGCTCCCCGGCAGGCAAACCACCTTAGTCTCAATTCGCCCTCCTCTGCGAGAGGCCTCCCAAGCTCCGAGTAAATCGGGTCGGTGGATGGCGCGGCATCGCCGACGCATCGCCGATGCGTTGCCGATGCTTCGTCGACGTCGGCGATGCATCAAGCCGCATCGACGATGCGTCGGCGATGCGGCGCGATCCTCCGACACCATCTAATCGGACCCCGTGACATGGGAGGCCTATAGGTCCGATCCTTTGAAAGGCGGGCCGCCGCCCGCTGCAGCGCGCGCACGTCCGCCGAGGAGTCCTCCTGTCGGCCACGCTGAAGACTCGGGTTTAGGTCGGGCATGTCTTCCGACAGGCGGACTTCGAACGCCAAATTCAAAGTACTCTACAATATTCAAGAATACTCAAAAATAGTGTTAAAACATCGTCACCAGACTCTTGTTCGACTGTTTTTGCATCTTCCCCCCGTACCATGGACACGCCCGACTTAAACTCAGGTTGGGGGGACTCGGGTTGGCCTGGCGGGACTACGAGGAAAATGACGAGACCAAGTCTGAGATCTGACGCGAGCTCCCGCTGCAAACATCTCACGAAAACTGGACCGTCAAAACCCAGGACGGGCCCGCCCAAAAGCGCTGGCAAATATGAATTCCGGCGTACCCACCCGGAAGAAGTGGGTGGAATCGGGTGGGAGCATGACGAAGCAATTCGGATGAAGTAACTAGACTGGGTTCGGACCCGCCCGGGCGATAACAAACAGCATCAACAACAATCGACGCTTGAAGCAGGAAAGCAATCGAGACCGACTGGAACCAAAGACAGTTTATGATATCTAGATTTCAGCGACCGGCGTGCACTCGCTCGAGTCTCACAATGCCCCGATCCTGGTCAAGCAAGGCCGTGGCCAGCTGCTCGTGCTGCGCGCTCTGCGCTGCCTCGGCCGCGACGCGCAGCCGCTCGAGGGAGTCGCCCAGCGCGGCCTTCTCCTGCTCGAGCTGGCGCAGGCCGTCGGTGCTGGAGACCTGGGCCTGCCCCAGCAGCCTCGGTTTCGGCGGCGGGCGGGTGGGAGAATGCGAAAGAGAAGGAGGAGGACGAGGACGAGGACGAGGAGGAGAGGAGGAGGAGGAGGAGGAGGAGGAGGAGGAGGAGGAGCAGCGAGGGGAGAGGAGGAGGCGGGAGGGCGAGGTGGGAGGGGGAGGAGGAGGAGGAGGAGGAGGAGGAGGAGGAGGAGGAGGAGAAGGAGGAGAGGAGGAGGGGAGGAGGAGGGACGGGTGGACGGACGAGGACGGGAGGACGGGAGGACGGGAGGAGGAGGAGGAGGAGGAGGAGGAGGAGGAGGAGGAGGAGGAGGAGGAGGAGAACGGGAGGAGGAGAAGACAGAGGAGGAGAAGGAGGAGGAGGAGGAGGAGGAGGAGGAGGATAATGAAACGCTTCTCGAGCATTGGCGGCCAGCACCAAGCACAAGGGAGCATGTCGTAACCCTCGCACCAAAGTGCCTCGGAGCCCAACCCGTCGGCTGCAGCAGTGACGATCAAGCAGCAGTAACACGTACGCTCCACCTGGAACCCATGGATGGCGGCGCATGGATCCAGGAGGCCCTCCCTCGCTGCAGGGAAGCGGCCCGCCTCAACGGTGACGAACAAGGTTGCTGAAACCGTCGTCGCTGCTGGAGGCAATCTCGAGGTCAGCGCTCGCGGCGATGGCATCACGGCTGGGTCTATCAGCGTCAACGTCGGCGCACCAGCACACCTGCTCCGAATCCCGTGGCTCCGTGGCAGCGAACCCCGACGAGGCCCATCCGAGCATGCAGGCGCCTGCGAGAGGTGGTGTGCGACAGCCGTATCACACCTTACTGCCTCCTTCTCCTCAGCCTCGAAACTGGTCAGGCGAGGGGGGCAGGGTTCCCAACGTGGCACCCAGAGGCCCTGCAGGAGGCTGGAGGGAGCCAGACCTGCAGGCCAGCCCACGATCTCCTGCTGCTGCTGCTGCTGCTGCTGCTGCTGCTGCTGCTGCACCTGCTCCGCGAAACTGCAGGGCGCCCCCACCGTGTCTTGCACGACGAAGTCCTCGTCGGGGAGCCCGCCCCAGTTCCCGCCGCCAGGCACGAAGGGCACGGCGTGCTCCGAGAGGACCTGCACGGCGCAGGCGCCGCCGATGGAGCCCGAGCACGCGTCCCCCCCCCCCTGGCTCCGCACGCTGCCCCCGGCCTCGAGCCTGGGTCCGTGCTGAGCCTGCCGAAGGGTTGGCGCGTCCGCCGCGTCGGTGGCGACACCTGGCGCATCAGAGTGAAGCGCCACGACCCTGCGCAGCCTCGCCAGCCACCCGGGAAAGGCCCCTCGAGCATCGCCGTCGGCGCCGGGAGAGCGGCGCGAATGCGCACGGCCACCTCTGCGCCGCCCAGCAGCCCGTCCGGCGCCCCCACAGCTGCTTCCAGCTCGGCCTTGGTGCGGGCCAGCTCGCCAGAGAGCTTGACCACGGCCCTGTCCGCGGAGAGGCGAGCCCAATCGCGGGCTGCCTTGCGCTCGCCAGGCGAGCGCATCGGACGGGCAACGCCCCCGTCCTCCCGCGCCATCGCTCCGCGAGCCCAAAGCCCCGCTCCCCCAAGTCCCCCACGCCCGCCACACTGCCCCGTGAAGCTGGGGTCTCGAGGTACAGTCGGGACGCTGAAAGAAGGAACGCTAGAGAACGAACGGAGCCCCTTTTTGGCCCTGGAAGCGCCTCCGTGCCCGAGGAGAGGAACATCAAAGGAGAAATCTAAGGAACATCGAGCCCCTTCCGAATCCAAATTGTTCCTTATTTCAGCGTCTTGGCTGTACGCTGGGGGACAAGGTCCAGGAGCGGGGTGGCCTACGGACAGGCACGAGCCAAAATGGACACGGAGGAGGCGGGTGAGGAGGGGGGCGCGGCGCGGCGGCGTGGCGCGTCGGCTTCGGCATGGCCTCCCCTCCTTCGGCGGCGAGCGAGGGGGGGAAGTGAGAAGGAGGAGGAGGAGGAGGAGGAGGAGGAGGAGGAGGAGGAGGAGGAGGAGGTGGAACAACGAGTTGAGGAGGAGGAGGAGGAGGAATTTAGTTCAGTGCAGTTAGCTCGCGGAGGTCGGCGGTTTTCCAGCCTCGGGACGCTTGCCGGCAGCTGCGCCTCGCCGAGGGCGTTCCGGGGGTGTCCGGATCGTCCCGAACGGCCGCCAGAGACCCGAGTTAAGACCCCAATGAGATGTTCGGCGGCGCGCCCCTGGGGGGGAAGTGAGCAGGAGAGAGAGCCTTCTCAGCAGGCGGCGGGGGCTTCTCAGACAGCTTGCGGCCTTCGGATAGGTTTTCCGTGTGTCTTTGAAGGGGAACTGGGACACACAAATAAATACACACAAATAAAAATATCCCACATATTTTCCCATATTTTCTGGGTTTTTGTCTTCCCCCCCACTTCCCATATTTTCCTATATTTTCTTGGGAGTCGACGATTAATTGTGTCTGTGTGTTTCTTTCCCTCCTGTGTCTTCTGGGGAGGCTTGGCAAACGTCGAAGGAGGCGGGGGGGAGTTCCGAGCCTTCGCAGAAGGCCCGCCGCTCCTCAATTCCACCCTGCGCCGGCCGCCGATCGCCCGTCGGCAAGACGAAGGCATAATCGCATCCAAATCGGACCGATATAGACCCTGCGAAATGCTTAAGAAATCATGGGTTAAGAAATTCATAGTCTCAGAACTTGAGTAAGAGCCCAGAATTTCCATCGAAGTCGTAGGATTTACATGAAAACATTAAGAATAATCGAGACTCTGGACGAAAACTTGGGTTTTCTTAAGCATCGCCTGGGGTGTAGATTGGAAATCTTTGGAAACCGGTGGACTTGGAGGATGTTTTGGGCGCCGCGGCCGTTTCACAGCGCTCTGGAATTCGCCCCAAGAGCGTCCCTCGACGCCCTGGTCGGGAGCGGCCAGGAGGGGGGTGTCAAAGAGAGGGGGGTGCGAATCATGGCCGGCGGCATGTGCGCGGCCCAGCGGGGGGGCCAGGGACGAAATGAAATGAGAAGAGGCGCCATGAAGTCTGGGGAGATATCATGGACCCCGCCATGACATCCACCATCCCTAGTCATTACCCCCCTCTTTGCCGCCCCCTGCCCGACGTTCGTGAGGCTCCGGGGGCTGCGCGCAGAAAGCCGCCGCCCCGCCAGGTCAAAACCCGGCTGGCCGCAACGGGACCCCCGAGCAGCCCCGGCGGCTCAGCAGGCTCCCCGAGCAGTCCGGGGCAATTGAAGGGGCCCTGGGGCACACAAATAAATACTCCAGATTTCGTAATAAAAGGGAGGGGGTCTGGACCCTCCAAGACAAGCCATTTCGGACCTCCCCCGTGGGAGAACCTTCCAAAACATCGTCCCCAGACCCCCCAGGCCCTCCAAGATAGCCTGGAAAAGACCCCCCCCCGAAATGAGACCCCCCTCCCTTTATTACGAAATCTGGAGTACACAAAAATAAAAGGATGCCCCGTATTTTCCTTCTTTTTTTGGATTTTCGTATTCCCCCCCACTTCCCATAGTTTCCCACATCCTCTCTGGGAAATCAACGATTCATTGTGTCTGTGTGTGAGCCTGTTTTTGTTAGACTCTGGCAAGTTCACTTGCATGGACGGGGGGGGGCTGAGCCTGAAGCAAGCCGCAAACGACTTGCACGTTCGGGGGGACGCGGAAATCACGCAAGTCGAAAGGCACTTGCACGCTAGTATTCGCTTGAAGAGGGGCGAGGGGGGGGGGGCGGGGAGGCGAACGCCATGCAAGTAAACTTGCCTGAATCCCAAAAAAACAAGCTATGTTTTTTTCCCCTCCTGGGCAATCTCAGCCCGCCGGGGGCACCCTCGGGGGGTCTGTTGCGGCCAGCCGGGACTGTTGCCAGGGGTGCCCCCTGGCCTAAGGTTGCGGATGCTACGACAATGGGCACCTTAACAGTCCGCTCATCGAATTAGCGATGTGTGCTTAACATGTAGGAAAAATGTCCTGAACATGTTGAAAACATGCTTTTACACGTTCGAAGCAGTTTTACCACATGTTCTAGACATCTGGAAATGATGTGGCAACACGCTTCCTCTCCATTGATCGTCCTCCACAAGCCTAGGGTGCCCCCAGCTTCTAGAGCCCCATGTGGGAGCCCCTGGGGCCCTCTGGGCCTCGCGAGGGGTGCTCTGGGGGACCGTCTGGGCCACCCCGGGAATCCTGGGGGCACCTTGGGCCAAGGGCACTTCTAGCAACACCCGCGCTCGGGGGGCCTGCCGAGGCCAGCTGGGACTGCCGTCTGCGCGGAACCCCGAGACCCCTACCAGGCCTCGCTGGCATGGAAGGGAATGGGGTTCCTCTCAGACCGCGGGCGCTCTAACTTTTTCACACCGGGCGTCGTCTCGCCTGGCTTCGGGCCCCACGGCCTTGGCGGACGATCCTGCTCGAAGAATGCAGCCGAAGGTTTTGCTAGCGATGCTGCACTTTCTAGTGGGCGCCGCACCTACAATGGAGGGGGGCCAGTCCACAAGAAACCTTCCACAAGAAACCCAACCCTGAGACTCCAGGACGTCCATCGTTTTTTGGTGTAGGAACGTCACGCTTTCCATCGCAAAACCATCGAAACTTAAGAAACCCAGAGCACCCTGGAGGCAAGCAGAGTGTTCCTTGGCATGGGTCTCCGCTGTATGTGTACACTGAGATGTGCAAATCTTCGCCCCGAACCTGGTGCACATGTTCTGCGTAGCGTCTCGTGCTCGCGAACCTGCACCAGATAACGCCCGCTACCCGTACTGTGAGCGGTGGCGGTTGCGTGCATCGTTTCATTGGTGGGCTTGTTTTCCACCGCCTCCGGGGGGAGGGGTCCTCCTCCTCCTCCTCCTCCTCCTCCTCCTCCTCTTCTTCCTCATCCTCATCCTCCACCTCCTTTCCCCCCCCAACTGAAGGTGGTGGCGGTGGAAGAGAGGCCCATCATTCGTGGTCATGCCCGCGTCCCCGATGCTTCACAGCGCTGGGTCTCAGGGGTATCTATTGCCGAGCGAGCGCGCGTCCCTGTGCACTGCGGCGCCCTCATTGGGCACCCAGCACAGAGGGGGGGGGGCCCTGGCCGATGCAGGGCAGCGGCGCTCGGACCCCACTCTCCTGAGGTCGGGCACGAGCAGGTCCCCCCACAGGCAGATGCTGGAGGACGAACAAAGACATACCTCCAGAATGCGCAAACAAGTTTTTTTTTGCAGCAATACTTTTAAAATAACGCCCCCATACGATTGTTTGACTATTTACGGGCATTCCTCCTGCAAGGCGACACGCCCGACTTCAACGTAGCTTCATGGTCATGCCCGCGTCCCCGATGCTTCACAGCGCCGGGCCTCGGGGTATCAGCTGCCGAGCGAGCGAGCGCCCCCATGGTGCACTGCGGCGCCCGCACTGGGCACCCAGCACAGGGGGGGGGGGCCCTGGCCGATGCAGGGCAGCGGCGCTCGGACCCCACTCTCCTGAGGTCGGGCAGGTCCCCCGACAGGCAGACGTCGGAGGAAAGACAAAACATACCTCCCAAATGCTCAAACATGATTTTTTTGCTTGTCAAAGGTACTTTAAGAAAAAATAGTCCCCAGACTATTGGTTGACTATGTTTGAATATTTTCCTGTAGAGGGACGTGCCCGACTTAACACTTTCCTGCACCACCATCCCTTCAGGACTCCCCGATGGGGTCAGAGTAGATGGGCTCGCAGGGCCGCGCCGCATCGCCGGTGCATCGGCGATGCGGCTCGATGTGGAGCTCGATGTCCTCGATGACGACGTCGCCGCTGCATCGCCGACGTCGCCGGTGCATCGCCGATGCATTGGGGCTGCGTTGGCGGTGCGGCGCGACCCTCCGACCCTATCTACCCGGAGCCCATGTGAGAGTGGCCCATTCCTGCGGCTCTCCTGCCCCTCCCCGCGCGCGCTGCCGAAGGATCCGTCGCTGTGTGCCCGTCTTGGTGGCGCCGAGATGCCGCTGCGTGCGCGTGCCCACGGGGCCTCCCATGGAGTGCGGCGGGGGGCCGTGAGTAGCCGTTAGAATGACGCCCGCCCAGCGTGTCATCTGCCCGGCCCAGGCCCTGGACGCCGGGGATCAGTCCCTGGAACCAGTTGTTCGTTGCGAGTCGTTCTCTGACGGCCTGGATGCCCGAGAGCAGCGGAAGCCATGAGGTTCTCTTTCCCTCAGGATCCTGTCGCGGCAACCAGTCACAATCCACTCGCAATCTTTCTCCAGATCCCTCCTAGGCCAATCTTTGTCTTGAGGTGCGTCCACCCGTGGCGAAGAGAAATCCCAGAAACGCCTCGACACCTCCGAAACCAAGACGTCGATGTCGACGGCGACCTTGAGGAATTTATCTCTGGAACTGGGTGCGTTCCAGCCAGAATGCTGAGCTGGACCCAGACATGGCGACGAGACACCTCCTTCCAGACGCAAGGAATCGAACACACATACAACAACCGCAATCACATAACCTTGACGTCGTGCCTTCTTCGAACGCTGGATCCACAGAGATCTCGACCCCTCCCCCAGGACCAGTTGTACTTCCTGGGTATTTTTTGACGGCTCGAGCATCTAGCAGCCACAGAGGCAGAAAACTGCCAAAGGCCTCCCGTTGTCGTTTTGCTCTGGGGCGTGAAAAGATCTGGGAACCTCGATCCGAAGAGCTTCCCTGAGGATCCGAGGGGCAAACAAGGTTCAGACTGCTGGGCACACGCATGAAAACTTCGACCCAACAACAGCGAAACAAACACGCACCCACACGCCAAGACTCGCTTTCCTCAGGGCCCCTTTTCCGCAATGACTACTCCAAGTCCCGTATCAATCTTCCCCCCGGTCCGGGTTTTTAAGGCGCCTCTTTTGTAACTGGGGGGGTCGGGTTTATGAGGGCGCTGTCTTTGGACTGGAGCTTAGGGGGTCCTGTTTATTACGGCGCCCCGTCGAAGAGGGGGGTCCAGAGTATCAGGTCGCATTTGAGGAGGAGGAGGAGGAGGAGGAGGAGGAGGAGGAGGAGGAGGAGGGGGGTCCGGTTTTTTTTAGGGGAGGGTCGATTCATAAGGGATTTGGGCCGATCCTCGGATTTTCCGTTCGTGGGGCTCGGGTCTCCGGCGGCCGCGCTCGGGGCGCTTCTGGCACCCCCGGCAAAAACGCTCTCGACGAAGCCCAGCGGATGGAGCCCGGGTCGGGAGATCCCGAGAGCCCTCGAGACCTTCGCAAAAAAACGGTATGGAAATACAGAAAACGGATGGTCGGAAACTTTTGCTCAGCGTGACTCGGCGGCGGCCCTGGCGACGCGCTGCGCCTTGCGAGAGGACAGCGTGTCGCGCCGCTGCGCGGGGCGGAAGGTCGGGAAAAGCTCGAGACATTGACGCTCGGGAGCCGGGGCAAGGATACCGGCTCGCGCCGAGGCGTGGTGGGCCAGCACCGGCGGCAGGACACGCTAAGCCGAAGTCCCTGACCGTATGTGAGAACCTGTATGGGAGTCCACAAACCCGAAACTTTTACGAAAGTCTGGTGGCAACTCATGGGAGCCTCCCATGCCATCATGCTGGTTCTTGCGCATGGACGCTGGTAGACGCTAAAATCGACGCTAAAATCGATGCTCATCCTTCGAGTTCCCTTCGCAGCCAGACGCCAGCGCACGCTAGTGCACTCCGAAGGTGGGGCTACGAGGACACGCAAGGCCCCCATGGTTTGCCACCGAACGAAAGTCCCTGGAACTTCTCACCCTGCTTTCACGGCAGATTCTCCTTTCGGCTACACATAAAGAGTGACCCTGGGTGTAGGTCGGGCCTGTCCCCCTACAGGCGCATATTGGACGGAAAATGCAAAATACCCCCCCAAAAAAATGCTCAAAAGATGCCCAACCATACTCAACAGAAAGTCCCCATACGATTTGTTTGACTATTTTTGAATATTCCTCCTGTAGAGGGACATGCCCGACTCAAGGTTTGCCACCGAACGAAAGTCCCTGGAACTTCTCACCCTGCTTTCACGGCAGATTCTCCTTTCGGCTACACATAAAGAGTGACCCTGGGTAAGCGTGACCTTTGGTGCGCGGCTTTTTGAGGGCCGCGCCAGGGCCAAACACAAGCGCGCAGGCGGCTGCTACCGCATCGCGTTCGGCGACCAGGAGGACCCCACTGGGCGCGACGACGACAACGACGACGATGACGATGGGGAGGACAACGACCACGACCACGACCACGACGACGACGACGACGACGACGACGACGACGACGACGACGACGACGACGGCGACGACGACGACGACGACGGCGACTGTCGGGCGTTGGCAGAACTGGGCTTAGTGGGACCTGGTTTAGTGATCTGTACCGAGGACGCCCCCACCCCCCGTCCCATTCCACTAACCAGAATTGCCGTCACCCGAAAAAACACCAGCTACGGCAGACCTGGTTTAGTGATTCTGCAATCCAGAATTTGGGGCCTCGGGGCCCAATCACTAACCGGCTCCCCTCAACTCGGGTCCTGGCTATACCCGAGACGACGACAACGACCACGACCACGACCACGACCACGACCACGACGACGACGACGACGACGACGACGACGACGACGACGACGACGACGACGACGACGACGACGACGACGACAACTAGGCGTGGCCGGCCTCTGCAGGGCGCCCCTGCGGCCCTCCTGCGCCGGCAGCGTGCCGTTGCACCAGCGCCCGAAGTGGGCGCGGCCGCGCTCCTGGAGGAGGAGGAGGAGGAGGAGGAGGAGGAGGAGGAGGAGGAGGAGGAGGAGGAGGAGGAGGAGGAGGGGGAGGAGTAGGAGGAGGAGGAGGAGGAGGAGAAGGAGGAGGAGTAGGAGGAGGAGGGGAGCGGTGCCCCGGGGGAGCGCAGGCTGCCGGGAGCCGGCGCCGCCGCGCTCTGGGCCAGAGGCGGCTGCTTTCCAAGCCTTCTCGAACCCAGACCCCCTCGAGCGATGAAAAAATGACGACGGGAAGTTGTTTTTCATTATTTTTGGCCTATGGGGGCCCTTACCGGCCCTCGGGACCGTCAAAAAACGACTCGGGACGAAAAACTGGTCCCAGGGAATGGGTCCAGACTGGGGGTCGACGTCATAAAAAATTCATGACGTCGGGGGTCTGGGTTCCAAGCCTTCTCGAAGGCAGAGGTCGGGCGCTGGCAGAACTGGGTTTAGTGGGACCTGGTTTAGTGCTGTGGACTGGGGGACGCCCCCCCGCCCCGTTCCCCCAACCGGAACTGCCGTCACCCGAAAAAACACAAGCTACGGCAGACCTGGTTTAGTGATTCTGGCAAATCTAGGAGCTCCTGGGCCCTACCACTAACCGGGTCCCCTTACCTTGGGTCCTGGCTATACCCGAAGAGGCGGCTTCTCAGAAGGCGCGTGGGCTTCTGAGAAGCCCCGCCGCCTTTTTTGTCAAGGCCTGCCCCCCTTCACCCGCGTGTGCGCCGCCGAGGTCTGGAACTGTCGAGGTCGGTGTCTCCTCCTGGGACTGGTCGGCCCGCGCAACTGTAACTATGGCGTCTGTTTCAAACACCGAGCACCGCACTGGGTCTTTGACCGGTCGCCTGACTGGGGGAGCCTCAGCCAAAGATCCGAGGACTACCTACACCCCGCTGGGAAACGCAGGGTGTCTTCTGCAGGTCGTGTCGAGGAGTCGTCCAAGGGACCCCCCCCATGGGGTGGTCCGTTTCACATTCCCAGAGATCCGAGGGTAGGATCTTTTCAATGCGGCGGTTTTTTTTGGATGTCGTCCTCTGAGGCTTGGTATCGAGCCAAGGGGCCATCAAAAATGGATCCGGGACCAAAAACCATCCCTGGGGAAGGGGTCGGGACCCCTGGGGCCGCGGATTGGAACAATCATATCGGCGGATGTCTGGTGACAAAGGGGCCTCAAGACGAGAACGACATTTAGAAAGCGACTCCGGGAAGCTTCTGGTCGCCCCAACGGTGACCAAAAGCGCCGTCCGTGATGCATCTCCATCCCCCCACATGGCTCCATTGGGCGATGTTGGGCGCCACTCGGCGCTGTTTGGGCGCCTTTTGAATAGAACTCGGCGCTGCTTGGCACTGTTGAGCGCTATTGGGTGCTTGCCGGGGGTACTCATTCAACTCAAAATGAACGGGAGCTGCTGTGATTCACGACCTAATAGTGTGCGCACGTGCTCAGATTCTCGGAGCCGGCGCTGTTCGCAAGGGCGGAGGCGGGGGCCGCGAGGGTCTGGGGCCCCCCTGGAGCACCGCGTCTGGCCGAACCTGGCGCGTCCCCAGGAAACGCCTGCCGCGGCGTCCCCCATTTGGTCCAGGTTGGACGACGTTGCGGGCCGCGCCCACGTCAGGATGCGACGGTCTCAAGATGCGTGTTAGGAGTTCCAGAATATTCAGTGGCCCTCGTTCCTGCAGGCCGCGTGAAGATGCGACGGGCTCAGGATGCGTGTCAGGAGTTTCAGAATGTCCCATGGCCCTCCCGTCTGGAACATTCCAGGATCTTGGGGCTCCTGTCCAGGGGAACAGTTGCTGGAGGGCAGCATGGTCGTCATCATTACTTTTATGTCGGGCGTGTCCCCCTACAGGGGGATTTTCGAGGAAAAACTAGAAATACGTCAAAAATACGCCAAAAAGGTAAGACAATTCTAAATTATCCCAGTGCGACCCTACCTAGGAGTTGAAGCCCCTAGGAAAGCAGCATTAGTAGTAACAGAAAAGCTAAGCTAAAGCTAAGCTAAAGCTAAGCTAAAGCTAAGCTAAAGCTAAGCTAAAGCTAAGTTAAAGCTAAGCTAAAGCTAAGCTAAAGCTAAGCTACAGCTAAGCTAAAGCTAAGCTAAATCTAAGATTAAGCTAAGCTAAAGCTAAGCTACAGTTAAGCTAAAACTAAGCTAACACTAAGCTAACGCTAAGCTAAAGCTAAGCTAGAGCTAAGCTGAAGCTAAGCTAAAGCTAAGCTGAAGCTAAGCTGAAGCTAAGCTAAAGCTAAGCTGAAGCTAAGCTAGAGCTAAGCTAAAGCTAAGCTGAAGCTAAGCTGACGCTAAGCTAGAGCTAAGCTAAAGCTAATCTAAAGCTAAGCTAAAGCTAAGCTAAAGCTAAACTAAAGCTAAGCTAAAGCTAAGCTGAAGCAAAACTAAAGCTAAGCCAGAGCTAAGCTAAAGCTAAGCTAGAGCTAAGCTGAAGCTAAGCTAACGCTAAGCTAGAGCTAAGCTAAAGCTAAGCTGAAGCTAAGCTGAAGCTAAGCTAAAGCTAAGATGAAGCTAAGCTAAAGCTAAGCTAAAGCTAAGCTAAATCTAAGATTAAGCTAAGCTACAGCTAAGCTAGAGCTAAGCTGAACTAAGCTGAAGCTAAGCTAAAGCTAAGTTAAAGCTAAGCTGAAGCTAAAGCTACGCTGAAGCTAAGCTAAAGCTAAGCTGAAGCTAAGCTAAAGCTAAAGCTAAGCTGAAGCTAAGCTAAGCTGGGTGAACCCAAGGGGCGCGACTGGGGGAACCGCGGGGCGGGGACTGGGGGAACCGCCCGGGGCGATTTCCACTGCCCGGCCCCTTTAAGCTAAGAGAGTAAGAACCCTTCTAGGCAGAGCCTAGGTAGGGAAAAAAAAATCCCCAGACTATTTTTGTAGCATTTGTTTGATTATGTTTCGGGTAAAAATAAAACATACCCAAACCATAGTCCAACAAATACTACAAAAATAGTCTGGGGACTTTTTGTTTGAATTGTCTTACCTTTTTGGAGTATTTTTGACGCATTTCTAATTTTTCGTCGAAAATCCCCCTGTGGGGGGACACGCCCGACATAACATTACTGATTGCTCCTCTGAGGACCGGCTCAGTCCCAGGATCGGCGGGAGCCAATCGAGATCTTCGTTGGGGCCTCCCGGAGGCGCCTCGTCGCCACAGCCGGGCCCGCCTCGAAGCACAGGTCAGGGTGGAGCCCGGGAGAGATCCTGGGACCGACTATTACTACTACTACTACTACTACTACTACTACTACTACTACTACTACTACTACTATTACTACTACTACTACTACTACTACTACTACTACTACTACTACTACGACTACTACGACTACTACAACTATTACTACTACTACTACTACTACTACTACTACCACTACTACTACTACTACTACTACTACTACTACTACTACTACTACTACTACTACTACTACTACTACTACTACTACTAACTACAACTACTACTACTACTACTACTACTACTACTACTACTACTACTACTACTACTACTACTACTACTACTACTACTACTAACTACTAACTACTAACTACTAACTACTAACTACTAACTACTACTACTACTACTACTACTACTACTACTACTACTACTACTACTACTACTACTACTACTACTACTACTACTA